CGTGCACCTGCCCAGAGCAAGTACACAAATAGCCAAGGAGTAGTAAGGAGCATGTTTGCGTTGAGCTTGTAGTCGCAAGGGCAAGGATCTCGTGATCAACTTACTTTATAGCTCACAGGGAGTGAGGGCAGTGCCCGGGTGAGTTGGCGGGCACAGGGGTTGTCACACGGGCAGGTGGCTGGGCAAAGGGCACAGCAGCCCAACAAGAGCCCTGGCATGAAGCCAGGGCGCTTTGCAATTGGGTTCGAGTAGCTCTCAGGCTCGGAACATGGGCAAGAGCACCGCTGAGCATGTGCAGAGGGTCTCTCCCTTCTCTTGGGGAGAACACAGCCTCCCATTTCCCCAGAGACTGAAGGGGGTTCCTGAGTCCCACTGAACAAACCAGCCTGGGCTCACCTTAATGACTCTCCCCGAATCTCTCCACAATCCATTGCCTGGTCCTGGCTGGAGGTGGAAGGACCTGTCCATTTCAGATTTTCTCAGCTTCTCAGATTTTCCCATTTTAAAGTTAGCTCTGCGTATTTCTGCAGAAATTAGTGGGTTAAGAAAAAATCCTTATGAAAACTCATCAGCGTTTTAATGTGAATTCCTCCTGATAAGGTACCTATGTGGTCACGGGTTTGAGTCCCACACTGGGTGGAAGATTCCTGCATTGCAAAGTTGGATTAATTACCCTCATGGTCCCTTCCAACTTGACAAATCTAGGATGCTATTATTTCTATGCGTAGATGCAGTTTTGAATTGGGTACCCATTTTTTTGCAAGCGGTCTTCCGTAATATAATTCAGTCCTGATGTATTATTTTCACAAATAGATTCCTTTTATGTACAATTCTCCCTAATACGATGCATTTTGTGTGTAGGGGGGTGGGAAATGTTGGTTGGAAACCTGTGTCACAAAATCTGGAGAAGTGCGAATCCCGATGGATGCCCGAATTCTGCTTTGCATATTGTTTTGGGAGGTCTGGATTTGGTAGCGTTGCCTTTCATAGAATTAGGTAATTGTAGATGTGGAAGAGACCCCAAGGGTCATCTAGTCCAACCCCAGGCTGCGGTGCAGGAATCACAGCTTCCACCTTCCCTTAAATGCAGGCCGAACCGATTCACTCCCTGATCCCTTTCCCTGGTGACCATTCTTTTGCCCAGGATGGAGACTCTCTGGGGCAGAGACTGTTTGCATCACCTTACACCTTAATGTTCGCCCCTGCGCAAATGAAAGAACTCTTTGCGGCTGAACCCTAGAGAGTTAAAAGCAGTCCTTTGAGGCCTCTCGCATCCACTCCTGCATGCAGCTGAAAGCAGCCGCACCCACAGACTCAGACGCAGCCAAGTTGGCGGGCACAGACTTTGCCCCATGCCAGGGCTAGGGATTTCCCCCTCTTTTCCGGGTGGGGGATTCTGGGGGAGCCAGGAGAAGATTGGGGGCGGTCCCTTTCCTCTCTGCAAGAGGCTTTCCTTCCCCCTGGCCCCTATCCCCTGCCACCAGGTCTGTGGGAAGGAAGCAGCCTCCTCACCCCCACCTCTGCTGACAAGACCCGTCCAGCCAGTTTGCCAGCTTCTCCCTCCCAGGGCAGGCTCTGACTTGGCAGCGCCCTGTGCATAAACCCAACAGTGTCACCTGGCGAGGCAGAAAGAGAACACAATGGCGCAGCTTTGCAGCTTAAGTGCATGTGCGGGGAAGTCCCGGGTTCGAATCTCGGTGCTCCTGCGACCTCAAGGTGGGATAAAGCATTTCGTGTAGCATCCTGCAGTCACAGTGGTCAGCAGGGCAAACAAGCAGGACTCGAACCAGAAACTGGCACTCAGGAGGCATCCTGCCTCCAGCAGTGGAGGGAGAACTTAGCCATCCCTCTCCTCCATGAATTTGTCTAATCCTCAGCAATGCTTCTGAATACCAGTTGCAGGAGGAGAAAGGGCTTTTGTGGTATCTGGGTGGCCACTGTGAGAACAGGATGCTTGACCAAATGGGCTGTTGGCCTGATCCAGCAGGCTCTGATGTTCTTGCATGTTCTTGTGTGTGCAGTCAAACCAGCACCCCACACACAGGTAAAGGTAAAGGGACCTCTGACTATTAGGTCCAGTTGTGACCAACTCTGGGGTTGCGGCGCTCCTCTCGCTTTATTGGCCGAGGGAGCCGGCGTACAGCTTCCGGGTCATGTGGCCAGCATGACTAAGCCGCTTCTGGCGAACCGGAGCAGCGCACGGAAACGCCATTTACCTTCCCGCCGGAGCGGTACCTATTTATCTACTTGCACTTTGACGTGCTTTCGAACTGCTAGGTTGGCAGGAACGGGGACCGAGCAACGGGAGCTCACCACCGTAGCAGGGATTTGAACCGCCGACCTTCTGATCGGCAAGTCCTAGGCTCTGTGGTTTAACCCACAGCGCCACCCACGTCCCTTACCCCACACACAGAGGTAGGGATTTAAGGTGCCAGACATTTCCAGCACAGCCAGTACTGCTTCTCTTCTACCTTGGCCAAACCCTACGCTGTCCGTCTTGCTGCCTGTTGGGGCCAAAGCTGATGCAGTTAATTTTGTAGTGAGTTAATAAATTGACTTTGGTGCCTGGAAGAGAAACATCAGAAGTAACGCAGGCAGTAACACGATTATTTACGTACGGTTTGTGTTGTAAAGAAGCAGCAGCAGCAGCAGCAATGGTAGTGAATACTGGCTTAGGCAGTTTGTGCTCCTGACCTCGGACCAATGTGTGGGTCACAGCAGTTTCAATTCCTGTTTCTGATGGAACTTTCCAACACCCCTGCTTGCAAGGGACCCCAAAGGTGGCAGAAATAGGAAGTCTTTATGTTGGGGGGGGGAAATGGGACAAAAATTGTATGGGAACGGGGATACACCCCAAATTTTCTATAAGGAATAAGAGTGTTCAGGAAAAAAACATGGGTGCATGTGGATAACGGTTGGAGAGGGGGAACAGAACAAAGTGTCTGGAATCCTGAACACTGCAACATTTTGTTACAGTTCCGCTTCTAAGGTTCTTTATTATACAGTGGTACCTCGGGTGGCGCTGTGGGTTAAACCACAGAGCCTAGGGCTTGCCGATCATAAGGTCGGCGGTTCGAATCCCCACGACGGGGTGAGCTCCCATTGCTCGGTCCCTGCTCCTGCCAGCCTAGCAGTTTGAAAGCACGTCAAAGTGCAAGTAGATAAATAGGTACCACTCTGGCGGGAAGGTAAACGGCGTTTCCGTGCGCTGCTCTGGTTCGCCAGAAGCAGCTTAATCATGCTGGCCACATGACCAGCTGTACGCCGGCTCCCTCGGCCAATAAAGTGAGATGAGCGCCACAACCCCAGTTGTTCACGACTGGACCTAATGGTCAGGGGTCCCTTTACCTTTACCTGGGTTACAGACACTTCAGGTTTCAGACTCCACTAACCCAGAAATAGTACCTCTGGTTAAGAACTTTGCTTCAGGATGAGAACAGAAATTGTGCGGAGGCGGCACGGAGGCGAGAGGCCCCATTAGCTAAAGTGGTACCTCAGGTTAAGAACAGTTTCAGGTTAAGAACGGACCTCCGGAACGAATTAAGTTCTTAATCCGAGGTACCACTGTATTTGCAAACAACGAGGACAGGTCCCTGCCACAAGGAACTTACAATCTAGAAACTGCTTCAGAACATGGGAGTCAAATAGAATAGCTGGGAGTGTGTGTGTGTGTGTGTGTGTGTGTGTGTGTAAAGATCAGAGACTGCGTTTAGGGGTGATTAGCGTATGCCTGCAGATGGTAACAGTTGCCACTGTTTGTGTGGGGGAGCAACTTCACCCCCTAAAGGTCTGAGCAATGATCGTGCAATTAGGTGATTCAAGATGGGCACCTGAGGACTTTCTAGGTTCTCCCCGGCTGTCTGGGCAGCCAGAATCCTTCCAGACTGTGACTCACTCAAGGGGAGGCGGGCGGATGAGGTGTCACTCTGCCCTTTGTGTCTAAGCCTCGGAGGAGCACCCTGACCTCTGGCTGAGCCCCAGAAGGAAAGAACTCAGTTCTCTTGTGGGAGCAGCAGTGAGCTGTTGGGAGGAGAGAGCGCTGGGGGTCCTCTGCAGCTGGCGCAGGAGGCTTAGAGCAAGGAAGGGGGGGACTCCTTTTCTCTTCTGCGCCTCCTGTAGGGTGAAAATCACACAGGGTCCGCGGAAAACTGGGAAAGTGGGCAGAGCTCGTCCGATCTCTGTCCCCCTCCTCTGCAGGCTGCATGAAATCGAAGCATATGGAATTATTCCAAGCAAAAAACATTTCAGCCTGATTGGGTACAGCATCATTACAAAGAAGGCTTTCTGACTTCTTCTCTCCCGGCCCCTCCCAGCCCTGCTTCCCAAACTTGGATGGCTTTAAGAGGATTATACAAATTTGTGGCAAAGGCTAATGATGACTACTAGACTCAGTGCTCTCAGAGGCATCGCACACCTCCGAATACCAGCTACCGAGAATCAAAGGTGGGGCGAGTTGCTGGGGCGCTCAGGACTTGCCCAATGGAAGCCAGAGGGCTTTCTCGTTGGCCATTTCAAGAAACTGCAGTGGATCGATGGCTACTAGTTAAAATAGCTATGCTTTACCTCTGCTACCCATCACCTCTGGGTAGCGCTTGCTACCAATCAAAAGAGAAGAGAGCTCAGGTCCTGTTTTCAGGTTTTCCGGAGGCACCTGGCTGGGCACTGTGAAAACAGGATTTTGGACTAGCCAGGCTGTTCTTACAGGATCAGGCAAATTCATGGAGGACAGAGTTATGTTCTGCCTTCTTTGCCAGAGGCAGTGATGGTTCTGAATACTCGTTGCTGGAAGCCGCAGGAGGGGAGAGCGTTCTTGCGTTTGAATTCTGCTTGCAGGTTCCCCACAATCGTCTGGTTGGGAGAACAAGATCCTGGATCTAGAGGGGCCACTGGCCTGATCCAGCTGGGCTTTTCTGTTCAGTGGGTCTCCTCTGAGTAGGAGCAGGAGTAACAGCCCTTGCAAAACCACCGCAAGGTGACGGCGCAGGGAAAAGACAACTATCTTTATATGTATTTTTTTTCTCCACCTTTTATTTCATTTTTTTTTAATAGACTAAGAGCAAGTATATGAAAATCACCAGCCAAAGCTCTCGTGGGGTGGGGGAGGAAGGGGGCACCAAAAAAAAAAAAAAAAAAGGAGAACCCTACCCCCACCTTGCCACCCCCAAAGTTCCTTTGCTTGTTTTTTTGTCCGTGTAGTTGGTTGGTTGGTTGTTTTTTTGCCCCCGGGAACGAAAAAAAAGTGTCCGTGCATTTTGCATAGGTTCGGTCTTCACAGAAGACAAAGGGAAGAATCGCGCCCCCACCCCACCCAAAAAAACCTAAAAAACAAAACCCCAAAAGACTCTGGCTTAGATAGGCGGGCCGGTGCCCGCCCCGTGCCCACCCCACTACATGATCAGTTTTTTTTATATAATCTATAGACACGGATAATAGAGCCTCTCTCTCTGTACAGGACACATAAAGAGATATGTACAGGTAACCCCCCCCCTCGGGTTGAGGGCTAGGAGATCACACACCCCCACCCTACACGCACCCTCCAGCTTGAGAGTCACCAGGAAGACAGTGTATTTTGCTGCCGCCGCCACCTATCTCTGGGGTGGGCATTCCTGGGGCACGGTGCCCACACCCCCTACGCAGGGCGCACAACTCTCCTTTGCAAAAGTTTTCTCAGGCCGTGCAAAACACTCCCTGTGTCCTGACCTGAGCCATTTTTTAAAAGTTCCTGAAGGTGGTTCTGTCTCTCCAGATGCCTTTTTTTCTTTTTTTTTTGCAATGGGGGGCATTGGAAAAGGCGGGCAGGTTGCCTATTGCTGCGGTCCTCCAAAGAGACTGGGAGCCCGGCAGGAGGAGGGAAATGCCATATTCTGGTTTTTTTCTTCTCTGGGACACCAAAACAAAACCCCGGCCGCCCCTCCGAAAGTCCGCAGGAGAGGGAGGGCCTGCTCTGAAATACCCGCCATTCCCCTCACACACATGAGCAGCCCCAGCGAGCGGCAGACGGGGGGGGGGATAGAAAAATCAGAAGCGGAGGAAACCCTCCCCCCCAGCTGGTGGGGAGGAGCAGGAGCAGGAAGAAGGAGCAGCACAGCCAGGAAGGTCAGTCGTCCTCCATCTTGGGGCCTTTCCTCCTCACTCTGCATCACCTCAAGCTGCCTCCCTTTGGAATTGTATTTCTTTTGATATATAGATTAAAAAAAGGTCTGGTGTTTTCTCTCTTTTTCTTGTCCTCAGAAACAAACCGGGGAGGGCCGCTGGCACAGGCTGGGTCGGTGAGCTTGAGTCGGGGCCCCTCTCCTGCGGCGACTCACGGGCGGCTAGGAGGCCAGCAGGGTCATGAGGAAGAGGGCAGCAGCCACCGCCAAGGGTAAGTGTTCCCGCTTCGGACTCGTCCCGCTGATGCTTTTCTCCAGCTTAGGCATCTCAGGGTTAAAATTATCTGCAAGGGGGGAGAAAGAGAGAGAGAAAGAGAGAGAAAAGGGGAAGATTGGACTCTAGCAAGGAGTTGGGCACCCTCTCCCCTCCCCTGGCAAGTGCCTCCTGCTCAAAGCGCCTTCAAGATGGCGGGCAGCAAAGGATTTTGGGTATCAGGGAGGAAGACGGCTGCTACTCCATAGCTCAAGGGTCAGGGACCCTCTTCCTGCAGCAAGTGTCTCCTGCTCAAAGCTCCTTCAAGATGGCAGGCAGCAAAGGGTTCTGGGTATCAGGGAGGAAGACGGCTGCTACCCCACAGCTCAAGGGTCAGGGACCCTCTTCCTGCAGCAAGTGTCTCCTGCTCAAAGCTCCTTCAGGATGGCAGGCAGTAAAGGATTCTGGGTGTATGGGGGAAGGAGACGGCAGCTACGCCACAACTTTATTACCCAGTCCAGGACAGACAGAATTCTGGAGAAGTTCTTGCCCTCTTTCCAGCAAGTGGAGGGGGGCACTGCCAACAGGGAGGGGCTGGTGTTTTGCTGAGTCTCCGGGAGAAAAACCAGTGCCCCCTGCCGCCCCCCACCCCAGCAGAGAGAGAGAGAGAGCACTGTGGGCATCACTCACCCAAGTCCTCGATCTTCACCTCGGGCCCTATAGTGAACTGCGGGAGGGTCGGAACCGCTTTCTCCCCAGAATGCGACGCTGTGGGCAGGAGAGGGTGGGGGGGAAGAGGGTTATGCCCAGGGGGGAGAGAGGACGGCAACCAGGCCCCAAACCCCACCGCCCCTATGTTGTGGTTTCCACCCACCCCATCCCAATGATGCTTGCTGCCCCCCAACCCTGGCACCCTGGAACTCCCAAACAAGCCGGGTGCCCCTTGTATGTGGTTGGGGGTGATGAGATGTCAGTCGAGGCCACTGGGTCATGTGACACACAACGTAGGTTTTTTGGGGGAGAAAATGGAGCATGCACCAGGAGGGCTGTGGGTGTGTCAGAAATGACGAGCAGCACCTTGTTGGGAGTGGAGTATTATGGGGTGCACGCAGAGCACAAATCTGTCACTGCGTTTCTTTTTGCTAAGCCTTAGTGTGGATTATCATTAGCGGGCTGTTAAGCCTTAGTGTCCTTTTCAAATCGACTCCATCAGAACATAGGCAGCGGCCCTATTCAGAGTCAGACCAATTGGTCCACCTGGCTCAATACTGTCTACACTGGCTGGCAGCAGCTCTGCAGCATTTCAGACGGGACATTCCCAGCCCTTCTTGGAGATGCTGAGGACTGAGCCTAGGATCTTCTGCATGCAAAGCAGGTGCTCTACTGCTGACCTCCTTTTAAATATAATAGTATTGTTCTAGTCCTCATGGTTTTGACCAAACAGCTGCTGTAGGAATATGAGGCACTGCCTTATTCTGATTCCTGGTCCATCTAGCTCAGGGATCTCTGCGCTGACTGGGGCTGATGGGAGTTGCAGTCCAAAAATAGCTGGAAGGCCCCAGATTATGGGATGGAGACACAGAGGCATGGCTGGTGCTGAGTGCCCTCTGGTGCTCACTGCGCCTCTCCCCCCCCCCCCCGAAATTATTCATGCTGCTCTGTGTCGGAAACGCTTTGGGTATTTTGATAGATAAGCCAGTGTGTAAATACGTAATACAGCAACCATATCATTGCATGGAAGTATTGGGTAAATGGCATAGGCTGTGTAGAACGCGATTAATAAATTAACGGCGACGATAAATGTTATGAAATATTCAGCGGATTTATGCACTTATTTAAACAGCCGGAGGTCAGTCTCACAGGCGAGGAGGGGCTGTTTGTCACTGGAAAGTAACGAGAAACAACGGCCGCTGAGGTTTGTCTGCTGTCTGGGAACGCGCCCCGTGCGCCGAATGAGAGAAACGTAAACATTACGAAATCCCCTTTTCATCTGGGCATGCCGGCGACCTTTCCTTCTGTTGCACCTCCATTTCACCACACGGGGGCGCGTTAGCAAGAGAGAGCGCCACCATGAGGACTAGCGGCTTGCTTTTGAAGGGAGGAAAAAGCAAGAGGTAAAATATCTAAGAAGTATCTACACAGCACCCTGTCCAGGAGGGCTTGCAATTCGCTTTGGAAAATAAAAACAGCGCAATGATAATGAAGATTCTCAGTATGCTTTGCTTAGCACCAGATTCTGTGGTGCAATTGCAGAAAGCATGGAAACACAAACAGAGCGAGAAAAAGTCGGCTGCTTGGGACCTCTGCAGGCTTTTGCACCCCAGATAATCCTTGCTCCCTTTGGTCAGGCACAGATATCTAAAGCAGCACAGAAGAAGAAAAATGAGGGGCTTGTATCCACCTCTCAGAGTAGACCCATTAACTTGAATGAGCGTGCCCATTTTTCCTAACAGGTCTACACTGAGTCAAACTTGGCTGGATGCAACGCAGTTGTGTGTTTGCATGGGATGAACGTGCTCAGAGCGCTTGGGACAAGGGATGTGTCTCGCGCACACCGGGGGTGGGGGTGTGCCCCAGGGAGGTGGGGGTGCCAGGTGGGGGTTCAAAAGAGAAAAGGAGCCAGGCACTCACGGGAGGCGCAGCAGACGAAGACCTTCATTCGGAGGCAGGCCCGGCGGTGGTTGTGCATTGGAGTCGCTGGAAAAGAACAGAAAGCAACGTCAGAAGAGGCTGCTGGATCAGGCCAAAGGCCCATCCAGTCCAGGATCCTGTTCCCCCATTGGCCAGCTGGATGCCCCAATGGGAAGCCTGCAATCTACTGTTCAGTGGTAGACTGCTGTAGGACATGGAGGTTCTGCTCTGAACTGCTGTGAGATCAGAAGAGCCCTGCTGGATCAGGCCCAGTGGCCCATCCAGTCCAGTATCATATTTCCCCGGTGGCCAGCCAGTTGGGGGGGGGGCATTTTTTCCTACCTGCTTTCTTAAGAAAGAAAGGAAAAGGTGTATTTGCAGAATAGGCACCCACACACCCAACAAATTCATAGCGGGGGGGGGGGGGTTCTATTAGCTAAGTCAAAAGGAACCTCCTTGGGCAAAGGCAGTCTACCTGAGCCATATGCTAAGTTCCTCCCCAGGACCTGAGATCCTCTGAGCTGCAAATGCCCTTTGCATGGGGGCCCTTTTGCAATGAAGGTGCTATGTTTCAGCAGCAGGAGACTGACCCTGCAGGCAGAAATCTCCCTGCCCCTGTCCAGGGCAGACAATACAGAGCTGGACGGGCCAACAGTCCGACTGCTTGTTTTATAAGGCAACTTCTTATTTAAACCAGCCCTTCGTCCAGAATCTTGAGGACCAGCATCTCGCTTTTATTTCGAGGGGAAGTGCTCAGCGACAGAGCACTTGCTTTGCATCCGGAAGGTGGAATCCCCAGTAGGGCTGGAGAGGCACTGCAAGACAACGACTGGACTTAGATGGAGCAATGTTTTGACTCTGTGTCAGCCAGCAGCTCCATGCTGCCCCCACCCCTTGGGGGGGGGCCTTGGCTGTTGCCCAACAGCCCGGATTTCTGGCGCTGGTCCCAGAAACGCACCTTCCACCTGCTGACATTCTGCAGATGAGAATCAGGGCAGCCAGCCTTGTTTACTTGATCCGTATCTGTTTGCACCCCGGAAGGATCACGGCCTGAACTAACCAACCCCCACCTTTGCCCGTTCCTCAAGGCTCCCTCACCCCCCAAGCTCCTTGGCCGCCTTCGGGATCCGGGCCCTTGGCAAGGGACTCCCCCGCCTTTCAACGCAAGGAGGAAGCATTAGCAAATTGATCAACACGGTCCTCCGTCTCTCCTTCCCTTTAAAGAAGGCGAGGAGCGTAATCTCTAGTAAAAGGTTTAATCTCGCGCTCGGATCTGGTTGTACTCATTATAGACGTGCTCGGCAACATTTGCTGGCTGGATAGGCAGGGGGATTTTTTGAGGGGGGGGTGGGAGGAGAAGGGAAAGAGTCCACTGGCAAACTTGGGTCTTCTAATTGGCCCGCTGGCTACAGCTACAAAAGCCAGTGTGTTGTAGAGGATGAGTAAAACGAGAGGGGGAAACTATTTCATTATTCCATTTGCACTCCACTTTTTCCCTTAAAAAGGTAAAGGGTAAAGGGACCCCTGACCATTAGGTCCAGTCGTGACTGACTCTGGGGTTGCGGTGCTCATCTTGCTTTACTGGCCGAGGGAGCCGGCATACAGCTTCCGGGTCATGTGGCCAGCATGACTAAGCCGCTTCTGGCAAACCAGAGCAGTGCACAGAAACGCCGTTTACCTTCCCGCCGGAGTGGTACCTATTTATCTACCTGCACTTTGACGAGCTTTCGAACTGCTAGGTTGGCAGGAGCAGGGACCGAGCAACGGGCGCTAACCCCGTAGCGGGGATTCGAACCGCCGACCTTCTGATCAGCAAGTCCTAGGCTCTGTGGTTTAACCCACAGCGCCACCTGCATCACACTTTTTCCCTTGTGTACACACATAAACTGGGATAGCTCTGCTGGTAGAGCACGAGACTCAATCTCAGGGTTGCAGGTTCGAGCCCCACGGTGGGCAAACGATTCCTGCATTGCAGGCGGTTGGATCCTTGTGGTCCCTCCCACCTCTACAATTCTAATGATTCTTGCCCTTTGCCATTTCATCCTCATTTCCATTTCAACTCTCTGAGGTAGGTTAGCCCGAGAGAGAGAGGGAGTAACTGGCCCCAAGTCACCCAGTGGGCTTCATAGCTGAGTGGGGATTTGAACCCTGATCTCCCAGGTCCTAGTCCAGCACTCAAACCGGTACTGTTGGCCACCCAGCAGCCAGCCCAACCAATCATCAGGGATAATGGGAGTCATAGTCCAGGACTGGACCTGGAGGGCCACAGCATTCCCACTTCTATACCAGATACACATCCCAACCAATCAGGGATCACATCTGGTCTCCAATGCCCATCAGCCCCAGCCAATGTGGCCAGTGGTCAGGGACGATGGGAGCTGTAGCTCAGCAATGTTCTTGGGCTCCAGCTCCCATTAGCCAGCTAACAGATCCTTCCCTCCACTCATTCACGCTGGAGCCACCCTGTCCCGTATCATGTGATTCTTCTCAAGGTGTAGATTGGGCCTGAGCAAAGCTGCGCCCAACTTTAGCCAGGGCTGCCCCCTGGTGGACCCTAGAAATACATGCGACCACTTAGCCCTGCCAGGTGACACAAGGAGTAAGAGGTGTGGAGGGCAGAGGAAATGTGTGCGCACACATCTGAAAGGAAGAATTTCCTTTCAAAAATTGGTCGGGTGGGGCAGAATCAGCTGTCTTTAACTATCTGGACCTTTCAGCAGCCTTAATGGGAGATAGAGGCCTCATTTGCCCTACACATTTATAGCACTATGATACCACTTTAGATAGTCATGGCTTCCTACATGGACTCCTGGGAACCAAACCTTATTCAAGGTGCTAAGAGTCCTTAGGAGTGCTTTAATTTTAAGGTACAGATGCGGCCAAAGCATTTAAGATTGTTGGATTAGGACTGGGGAGACCCTGGTTTAAATCTCCACTCAGCCACTGAGCTCACTGGGTGACCAGCCACTCTCTCTCAGTCTCAACCCTAACACTCCTTGCTGGGTGTCGTGAGGATGGGGGAAAAGCAGGGTTGGAAAACTGTGTGCATCCTCAAGCTTCTCAGAGGAATGGTGAGATATAAACACAAATCAATCGACTCTACTGTCTACTCAAATCAGGAGCGGGAGATTGGACCCAGGACCTTCTGCATGCAAAGCAGGTGCTCTGCTACCAAAGTAAGATTCTAGTCCTCATCGTTCTGGATAAAAGGTTCACTTAAATAGGGACACAGGAAGCTGCCTTATCCTGAGTCGGACCACTGGTGCATCTAGCTCAGAAGACGAAGGGGATTGAACCCAAATCCTTTAGCATTGAGTTTATGGGCCTTTTTCCAAAGACCTCCCCTGAGTTCACAAGATGTTTCCCTCTACTGAATAAGCCTGCTGCATCATCAAGCTCATCCCTGTCTAGTGTTCCTGAACCTTGGGCCCCTGGCTGATGTGTTGGAACTCAGCTGGCGCTGATGGGACTTGCAACCCAAAACCTCAGCCAGGCCCCAGTGCAAGAAGACTACTTCGGTTTTGACTAGCTGGGAGCTCTCCCAAATCCTTCAAGCCTCAGAAACAGGTCCTTCCGATCACTTGCTAACAGAGACCCATTTCTCCATCAATGGATGGTGTCAGGGATGGAACTCAACCCCATCCCTGCACCCCACCCCTTGCATTTAAGGACTATGGGATGGTGCATCTCAAAGACTCACAGATGTAGTAATACTCGTGTCCGGCGTGGAACTCGTAGCCCAGCGAGAAGGCGCTGTAGCGCTGGAACTTCTCCGAGAACTTGATGGGGCTGTGGGGAGCGTGGGGCCGGTTGCACTCCCAGCGCTTGAAGCCCTGGCTGATGTTGCACGTCCGGTAGCCCTCGTGGTTCACCATGTAGAGGATGTACTGCTCCATGCGCCCCTCGGGCACAGAGGCGTTGTAGTGCGGGCAGTAGATGTCCAGGTAGTCGTTGACATTCACCTGGACCGTGTAGCCTTCGCGGCGCAAGCTGGGAAGGAGAAGGAGAAAGGAGGGGGGGAGAGTCAGGATTGGTCCCAAGCAAACAAACAAACAAACAAACAAACAAACAAACCGCAACTCCCCAGTTTGTGGAAGGAGCATTCACGCACGTGTGTAATTTTCAGAACTTGCACACAGGCGGAAATATTATTATTAAAATAATAGGAATCCAAAATAGGATATCCAAAATACTCGGAATCAGCAAAACCAATATTAGAATTATAGAATTGTAGAGTTGGGAAGGACCACGAGGGCCATCTAGTCCAACTCCCTGCAATGCAGGAAACTTTTGGCCCGACTTGGGGCTCAAACCCCAAGCCCTGAGATTAAGAGTCTCATAGCGATACCTACTGAGCTGTCTTGAATAGATGTGGCTAATTTAGATTCATTCATTTTGACAGGTCTATGCTGAGTAGTTGGATACAATCCATGGTTGTTGTTATTATTATTGGCAATAATAATCTATGAATTATTAATAGTTAATAATGTCACTTTTCCATTGCCTCTCGAATGCCAACAACACAATGACTAATTATTTATTTAGTTTATCTCCTCCTTCCACCCAAAGGAGCCCAGCCCTTGGATAGCTCAGTTGCTACAGTATGAGACTCTTAATCTCAGGGTTGCAGGTTCAAACCCCACATTGGGCGAAAGATTCCTGCATTTGCAGGGGGTTGGACTAGATGACCCTCGTGGTCCCTTCCATCTCTACAATTCTATGATACAGCAAACGATAAAGCAGCAAATAAACCCAATTTAAAATAAGCACACCTTACAAAATCATGTAAAAATGATTAGGGGTGATGAAGAACATCAGATTTGGTATGCACTTTATGGGGGCGGGGGGGAGGCGGAGAGAAGAGAGAAAACGCAAGGCTGCTACATGCAAGTTGTGGCTCCCTCCTGAAAGGTACCTGCTGTCTTAGATAACAAAGCACAGTCACAGCCCAAGTTTAAATTAACATAAAAACTGATCAATGTCTTAAAAGTGTTAATACACTTGCACAGAGTCTACAGTCTGTCTCAATACCTTTGTATGTAAAAGCAAGGAAAGGGTATAAATGCCAGTACATGACAACTGCACCCCCAGCCCAAAGGACCCCCCCGCCCCATCAACAGCAAGGAGTTTGGGGTTCTCCCAACGCCCAAGATTGGGATGAAGTTCCAAGAGGCGACCACTAGAGGCCGCAGGACACAACCTGGCACCTTTTCCACCAGTTTGGGATGAGCTTGCCATTCATTTCAACGAAACGTGTCCGCTGGGCCCTCCCAATACAAAAAGCAGCCCCGTAATCAGGGCTATGTCTGCCCCAAGTCCCTGCAGGAGCAGAGAATACAGTACTGGGGGTGCAGCACTCACCATGTTTGAGGTTGGAAGGGACTCCCAGCCTCATCTAGTCCAACCCTCTGCGCTGCAGGAATCACAGCTAAGGAATCCCTGACACAGGGCCACCAAGCTCTGCCTATGAAGGAGCACTTTCCGAGCGAGTCCACACCAATGTTACATAGTCCCACTCAGAGCAGGGGTGGAATTTGTCCCCCAGGCCCCTCTGTTTGTCCCTTGAATAATGGGGGTGGAGACGCTCCTTCAGGTATACTGGGCAGAGGCTGTTTAGGGCAGGCACAGGCAAACTCCGGCCCTCCAGATGTTTGGGACTACAACTCCCATCATCCCTAGCTAACAGGAACAGTGGTCAGGGATGATGGGAATTGTAGACCCAAACATCTGGAGGGCCGGAGTTTGCCTATGCCTGGTTTAAGGGCTTGAAAGGTCAGCACCAACACTTTGAATTGTCCTCAGAAACGTACTGGGAGCCAATGTAGGTCTCTCAGGACCGGTGTTATGTGGTCCCGGCGGCCACTCCCAGTCCCCAGTCTAGCTGCCGCATTCTGGATTAGTTGTAGTTTCTGGGTCGCCTTCAAAGGTAGCCCCACGTAGAGCGCATTTCAGTAGTCCAAGCGGGAGATAACCAGAGCATGCACCACTCTGGCGAGACAGTCCGCGGGCAGGGAGGGTGTCAGCCTGCGTACCAGGTGGAGCTGGTAGACAGCTGCCCTGGACACAGAATTGACCTCCATGGACAGCTGTGAGTCCAAAATGAACCCTAGACTGCACACTTGGGAAGTAACCACAACAACAACAAGGCACCTTTGAAGGTAAAATTGATATCTGTTGCTCCACGCACTTTTCCCTCTGTCTTCGCCTACCACCAGCATGTGGCCCTCAGTAAGGAAAAGGCCTCCTTTGCTTTCAGACCCTCAGGACTAAAGAGTGTGGGGACGTCATCTGATGAAACAGCAGAGACCTGATGGGTGGCTGAACAAGCTTCCTGGTGGCTGGGGTTGTGTTTGTGTGTATGTGTGTGTGTGTGCGCGCGCATGCAGGGTGGAGATTCTGTCTCCCATACAGCTGGCAAAACCAGAATAAAAAATAATGCAACGGCAGGAGTTATGATAATGCACTCTCATTTGCATGACTGATACAGGCAAAAGTATTCAGTGCTGTCCTGCTGGGGGGGGGGCGAGGAAAGACCCGGGTTCAAATCGCCACTCAGGTGGGTTTCCCTCCAAGCAACTGCTCTCTCTCATTTGGTCTGTCCTACCTCGGAGGGTTGTTGGAAAGCTGAAAAGGGAGAAGGGTTGGGAGACAGAATCATAGAACTGTAGAGGTGGAATGGACCCAGGGGTCATCTAGTCCAACCCCCTGCAATGCAGGAATGAAGTACGTCACCCTAGCTTCTCGTTTGAAACAGTTACAGTGCTAGAATAAAAATAAAACGGTGCATTGTTTTCACACCCACACCATACAATGCAAAGCATCATTTATACGTTTTTAACAGTCACAGCTCTCCACCCCCCCCCCAAGAATCATGGGAACTGTAGTTTGCACCCTCACAGAGCTCCAGCGCCCTTAACAAATGACGCTTCCCACAATTCCATGGGGAAAGCCTTGTGTGCTTTAAATGAGTGGTGCTAACACCAGAGTGGCATCAGGGATGCTTTCTGCTGCAAGTTCTGCATTTCAGGGGGTTGGACTGGGTGAACCTAGAGGGGAGGTCCTTTTCAACTCTTAAAACTCTTGTTGTTGTCGTTTAGTCGTGTGACCCCCCTGAACCAGAGCACGCCAGGCACTCCTGTCTTCCACTGCCTCCCGCAGTTTGGTCAAACTCATGCTGGTAGCCTCGAGAACACTGTCCCACCATCTCCTCCTCTGTCGTCCCCTTCTCCTTGTGCCCTCCATCTTTCCCAACATCAGGGTCTTTTCCAGGGAAGTCTTCTCTTCTCATGAGGCGGCCAAAGTACTGGAGCCTCAGCTTCAGGATCTGTCCTTCCAGTGAGCACTCAGGGCTGATTTCCTTCAGAATGGAGAGGTTTGATCTTCTTGCAGTCCATGGGACTCTCAAGAGTCTCCTCCAGCACCAGAATTCAAAAGCATCCATTCTTTGGCGATCAGCCTTCTTTATGGTCCAGCTCTCACTTCCATAAAGCTCTAGGATGCTACAAATGCGGCCTTAGTTGGACGCCAGTTGAACTGAAAGTCTTCCAAATTTTGCTTGAGGCCAGGGGACGAGCAGTGCTGGGCAGTCATTTTGCAGGATGGCTTTGTATCCATTTTATGATGGATATATTTTTTAATCAAGCCAGACCATGCACCTACCATCCAACCCCCTCCCCGTCCCCCCCTCGGCCCGCTCCCAGCTCTGCAGGTTGCCCGTGTATAAATGACAGGAGTCAGCCTAACGCCATCGGGCGTCTAGGGCCGCGGTGATTGACACCTCGCGAGATCGGTCTGGAAAGCAACAGTCATCTCGATGCGCCTGGAACGGACGCGACCTGCGGATGCCGGGCTGGGAAGACTCTGGTGCCCCTTCCTGAGCCATGAGGTCGTCCGTGTCGTCCCCCCACCCCTCTGCCTCCCCCAGACCCTTCCAATCCTCTCGCTTGAACCCGTGCAAGGCACCCTCCCCATGTTCTCCTTTTCCAAGCTTGTGTCAAACGGAGGGCGCCAAACATCGATTGGCCACAGACACACATGCTGTGCAGATGCGCTCTGCAAATTATGTATTTCTAATTTGCAAAACGCAACTTATGTTAAAACTCTTGGGCGGTGCTGGAGGTGGCAGGGGACTGAGGATGAGAGCCGGTAAGGTGTTGGAATAGGACCTGGGAGAGAGCAGGGTTCGAATCCCCATGCAAGTGAAGCATGCTAAGTGACAGCTGCTTGGGCTGGAAGTCCAGATTTTGGGGCAGGAGTCAGTAAACTGTGAGTTACAGCTTTCGTTTAGAAAGAAAGCAAACTTCTAATCTTTTTTTTTTTTTAAATAATTTTTATTAAAGTTTTAAACAACAAAGAGAGAAAAGAAAAACATACACAATACATATAACAAAAACACGAGAAAAAATAAAAAAACAAGATTCAACAGTAAAAGAACAAAAAACAAAACAATTAAAAACAATATCTCTAAATATCTCTAAGCTAAAGATTGGGATTAAAAAAGTGGAAAAGAAATTGCTGGACAAACAATTTGGATTGGAATACAAAAGAGGGAGGTATGAGGAAGTCCAGAAAATAAGTAACTTAAAAATGGAAATGGAAAAGAGCAAACTTCTAATCTAAATAATCGGCATGTTTGTGGTCTTGGGCCGGTCACTGTTTCTTAGCCTAGCCTACCTGTCAAGGTTGTTGTTGGGAGGAGAGAACCATTTATACCAACTTGGGTTCCTTAGGGAGGTGGGGTAGGGGAAAGAGGTATATAAAATGCAAGAAAAGTAAAAATAAAAATGGAGAGCAATGCAATTTTCTTGGCCCACCAAACATATTGGGGGAAAAGTAGGGGGTTGAACTAGATGACCCTTGTGGTCCCTTCCAACTCTGTGATTTGATATGTGCAAAGACGTGTGCATATAACAATAACAACAACAACATTTATACCCTGCACGTCTGGCTGGGTTTCCCCAGCCACCCTGGGAACGGCATCCAGGAAAATGCACACATTGGTGAAAATAAGATATAAAGTTTCCTTCTATTAGAGAAAGCTGCTTGCAAAAATGTATTAGCCAAAACTGCATGCAGAAATGTGTTTATCAGGAGAAAGTTGCGCAAAAGAAATGAATTGCCAAAAAGAAAAAAATCATTTATTTTGCGCAAAAATAAATGAATTGCAAATTGCTGTGGAAATGTGGAGAACTGCATTTAAGATTAGAAAAATTAAGAAAACAAAGCTAAACTGAAATGGACAGATTCATCCATCCAGTTGGGGGAGGGACTCTCTTTATTCCGCCTCCAGTAAAAATGGTGCCAACATAGCCACATATAGTTAGTCAATGTGGACCACAACTCCCATTATCCCTGCCCATTGGCCATGCCGGCGGAGGCTGAGGGGAGTTGTAGTCCGAGAACGATGTTGTTGTTGTTGTTGTTGATTCAATTTACCTATATACTGCCCTTTATCCAAAAATCTCAGGGCGGTGTACACAGCGTTAGAAACTCCCATTGTTCCAGGCGCATTTTGCAACAGGGAATTTCATTAGCGTGATCTGTTTCTGAGCCCTGGGCGCAGTACTGCGCCTAAGATTTCCGATTAAAACTGCAGAGTGGAAGGAAAGGACCACCTTTTTCTGCCTCCCCACTTCCAGCCACTCTCTGAAGACTGGAGAAAAGACCCTCTTAAGAACATTAGGGGTAGGGAGCAGGCAGGGAAAGGACTAGACCATGTGTTCATTCATTTTCAGCTTTTTATTCTTGTTATTAAAAAAAGCGTGTTTAGACATTCCGTTCTTGTGCCCATAACCCTGGCTTGTGGTGCCATCTAACACTGGGTGTACCCCATTAAGAACATTGTTTTTCACTGCATTGTTGAACTACAACTCCCATCATCCCTGCTTTACACCTCTGCAGGTGCATTTAATATGTGTTCCCTGATTGGTTGGGACACCTGTCAAGGATGTTGCTGAACTACAACTGCCATCACCTGTGGACACAGGCTACAATGGCTGCGGCTGATGGGAGCAGGAACCCAAAAACATTTTGTCTTTCAGGGTTATCACAGGCTGGTTTCTTGGGGCCACTGCAGAAAGAGATCAGTCCTAAGCACGGGGAAACCAGCATGTTCAGGACCACCTTTTGTGTTGTGATGGTGCACGAAACCAGACTGAAGTAGGAACCAGGCCAACCACTAAAAATCAGATCCTTCTCTGTGTCCCATCCCTCCCTCAGGAGGTGGGTGGCAATCGATTACGGGGCCTTTGTGGTGGTGACCCCCCCAAAAACCCTCTGCTGCATCCCTTCCAGAAAGAGCCACCGGTCTCCTACTCATTTTCCCCTTTCCAATCCCCATGTGCTATTTAAATGCTGCCGAGTGTTGTGTTTATAGCCCCGTGTATGTGATTTTAAAGATGGATTTCATTTTTAGATTTTTTCAATCCCGTATCTAAATTTTACCACAAATTCTATAAGTTGTGCAGCCGCCCGAAAGCCTCACGAAACAGGAGGAGGAAAGTGGGGTGTGGGGTGGTAGTGGGTGGATTCATTATTTACATAAAACGCACTGCCGACTCTTGTGATTTGAAGGCAATCCCAGGAATTATTTTTTCAAGGGGGGAAAAACACACCCACACACTTTCTGCCGAAAGGGAGAAAATTCCAGCAGCCAGAAGGAAGATGTGCCAAAGAGAAAGACGTGTGTGTGTGTGTGTGTGTGTGTGTGTGTGTGTTTGGGGGTGGGGGGGTTATGAAGAACTTGAAAAGGGATGCTGAGGAGCGGGGCGGGGGGAAAAGCCCTTTAAGCCGCTCTCCAAGCTGTTGAAAGACAGGGAGGGAACAGTTGCAGTCTAGCTCTAAGATAGCTTCCTTGCAATGATAATGGCCCTACCCACCCAGAGGGCTAGGCTGCTGATGGGGACAGGCTAACTGCAAGCAGCTCACTCTGTTGCAGGACGAATCCCAAGCTCACTTGGTAGAGCATGAGTCTCTTAATCTCAGGGTTGTGGGTTTGAGCCCCAAGTTGGGTAAAATATTCCTGCACTGCAGGGGGTTGGATTAAATGACCCTCGTGGTCCCTTCCAACTCTAGGATTCTGTGAAGCTTAGATCAAACACTCTACAATGTGGTTAAGGGCTCTTCCAAGGGAGAAGAAAGGCCATCTCTCCCAGCTCACAAGCCCCTCTTAAGGTAGCCCCAGAAAGGCTGAAAGGAGAACCTTAATACAGTGGTACCTCGGGTTAAGAACTTAATTCGTTCTGGAGGTCCGTTCTTAGCCTGAAACTGTTCTTAACCTGAGGTACCACTTTAGCTATTGGGCCTCCTGCTGCCGCTGCACGATTTCTGTTCTCATCCTGAAGCAAAGTTCTTAACCCGAGGTATTATTTCTGGGTTAGCAGAGTCTGTAACCTGAAGCGTCTGTGACCCGAGGTACTACTGTACGTTTGTGTGGAAAGAGGAATTACTATGCTCAGGACAATCCGTCTTCTACACAATTATTAAGCTTAATAGATAATTTTATTTATTAGATTGAGGCTTCCTCCGAAGGAAGGAAGCGTATCCATGCTAACACAATTAAAACATATCAATCCTGATTCAATTAAAATGTCCACAAGGCAGTTTAGAACAACGTTCAAAACTTCTAAGAGCAATCACCTAGGCTGCATTCGTGCCATACATTTAAAGCGCTGTGATACCACTTTAAACAGCCATGGCTTCCCCCAAAGAATCCTGGGAGCTGTAGTTTGTGCAGAGAGTTGCTAGGAGGCCCCTCTATTCTTCTCACAGAGCTACAACCCCCAGAGTGGTTTAACAATCGATCCCTCCTCCCAGGGGGAACCTGGGAATTATGGCACTGTTGTGCTATAGGGGCCTCCTAACAACTCCAGCAGCACCCATAGCAAACTACAGTTCCCAGAATTCTTTGGTAGGGGAAGCCATGATGATTTAAAGTGGTATCATAGTGCTTTTGAAGTACAATGAGAATGTGGAGTCGCTCTCCAGCAAAGAATTTCAGGACTGGCAGGGACAGGATGTTCAGTCATCAAACGCCTTGGCAAACAGGAATGTTTTTACATTTCTCCTCAAAGAAAACAGCGAGGGAGACTGACGCACCTCACCACTAGGGCAGGTGTTCATTCCACAAACGGGGCACGGCCACCGAGGAGGCCCCGTCATGGGTCATCGCCAACTGGGGCAAATCATTTCAATAGCAAACTCATGTGGAAAAGTGTCAATGTCCCAGGAAGCTAAAGGGGGCCGGTTGGGGGGGGAGGGAGGTCCCGTCATGTTTAGGGGGGTCCCCAAGATTTGCAGAATCATAGAATTGTAGAGTTGGAAGGGACCACGAGTGTCATCTAGTCCAACCTCCTGCAATGCAGGAATAAGCAGATGTCTCATACGGGGCTTGAACCTGCAACCTTGGCGTGACCAGCACCGGGCTCTAACTCACTGAGCTATCCAGGGCTGACCAAGTACAATTTTTATTTTAAAAAATCCAAGGGGAAAATCCTCCCCTAGGGAAGAAAAACACACAATGAGAACTGACAGCTGTGGGCTGTTGCAAAATTTGCCCATTTGCAAAACTCGGGTAGGGATGGAATGGAGTACCCTGGCGGAAGGGCATGGCTGGCACCCTTAGGAGGCGGGAAACAGACCCACTTAATTGCATGTGTGTGTATTTCAGTGATGCATCTGTTCTTGAAAGGAATCGGGCCTCGCCTCTGCTTGATCTCGTTTTATTTTCCAGGGCAGGAGTTGCAATTCCCAGCCTGGTGCAAACCCAGCCGTTTACTCAATTTGTAAAGTTGACAAGGGGAAGGCACAGGAATGCCGGCTGCGGCCCATCGTCGGCACCCCCCCATAAATAAATAAATAAATCCTGGAGCTGGCTGGCAAGGGGGCAGCCGAGTCTCCCCACACGAGCCGCCTTCTGCCAGTGCCCAAATCTCAGGGGATCGTGTCGGATAACGCTGTGCATCACACACCCCTCCCTGTCTGTTTCACCCCTGCTGGTTGCCAGCTCCTAACAGGGCAAGAGGGATTTCAGCCTTTGGGCGGGCACCAGGGAGTGCCCAAGCGGGTTGCGCTGTGCCAACGCTTTCCCATCAGGGGCTGCTGCTGTTGCTGCTGCCACCCAGTAAGGGGTGAGTGTGTGAAAAGAGAAAGAAAAAGCTCACACAAGGGCTACTGACGCTAACTGCATCCCACTGAGCAATTAAGATAACTTTGCTGACGAGCAAGGGCAGGCAAGAGCAGAGGTGGAGGTGAAGGGTGGGGTCCCTTGCAAAGAGAGGAGCAGGAAAAGTGCTCCTCTACCCTCCTCCTCTCGTTTTCCTCTATTGAGGTGTGCTGAGAGAGAGGGGGGAAATGCACACATCTGGGTCTGGGCCACGTTAACGCACACACCATATCTTGAAAGCATGTTTTCACCTCCAAAGAATCCCGGGAGCTACAATTCCCAGCATTCCCTGTGAAGAGGGACTGACTGCTAAACCAGCTCTGGAAATTGCAGCCCTGTGAGGTTCTCTGCCTCCAATACCCAAGGCATCAAACCAGAGCAATATTTCCCCCACCCTCCCACCGTTGAGATGGTCTTACCCAGAGACATTTGGGACAGAGAAGGATAGAGAAGGCTATTATTTGCATGACAGCTAAAACCAAACCATTGTGTTTAGGGGCACTAAGTAACAGTGCAAGAAACTCAGATATATAAGCTGATCACCAAATGGCACCTTAAAACTCGGTTACCATGACCACCACAACAGAATGTTTTTCTCAGTAAGTTGTTGTATTATTGTTATTATTATTTGCATTTCTATACCGCTTTACATTTTAAAGAAAACATCTCAAGGCAGTTTAAAACATCAGATAAAACAATCCGGAATAAAACAAATGCAAACTTCCAGGAAAATAGTTCAGATCTAAGGGACATTTTGCTTTCCCCATATTTATTTACCACCTTAATTTATAGAGCTGCCCAATAGCAGAAGTACTCTAGGAAGGAAGTGTGGTGTAGTGGCTAGAGCGCCAAGCAGGGGGTGTGGCCGGGGGACAAGGGGCTGCCTGCAGCGAGTTCAAATCCCCTCCGGTTTTTATGCATTTGGGGAGGCACAAACTGACTCTGTCCATTGCCTTCTCTGCCTCAAGGAAGCTGCCCAAAGATGGGGGCAACTTGCAGAACGTGTGGGTGCAAGAGAGAGCCTTAAAAGGGGGTGAAATCTTGTTTTCTGTGTGTGGAGTGCGGAGGAACGGCAGCCAACCCGCCCGTGACGCCCACCCCTTCTTCCCCACTTTCTCCACCACTGCTGGCACTAATCCTGTTACCCGTTAATGCTCTAAAAGGGCGCCCCTGGGGAGCTTCCATTACGCTGATCCTGCACCGCAAGGCCCCTCTGATGTGCTCAGGGGAGGCCCCGGCACTGCCTAATCCTGCCTGATTGGGAGCCCGGGCTTTGATAATCCTGACAGGCTGACAGGCCACACACCAGCACGCATGCACGGCTCCGCCAATTAATTAGCCACGGGCTCCGCGCAGCACTGAACCGGCGGCACGGAGGGACGTAACCCTTTGCGCCGCCGATAGGGGGGGGAGCGAGATGCAAGGCGCCAAAACGCCTCTAAAGACCAGGCGCTGGGGACAGATTCCAGGGGGCGGCTGGGCATGAGACACACGCACCCCAATGTGTGTGTATGTGTGTCTCGTGCCATGGGGGAACTGGCTACGGGCTGCAATGGGGAAGCAGAACCTCCACAACCAGTGGCAGTGTATCTGTGATGGTCAGGGGAAATGCAACATGGGAAAGGCCTTTGGATGAAAAAAGAGGCTGGATTAAAAGAAGCTTGTCTGGCCAACCCAGCAGAGCAATCCTTCTAAGGAGGGCTGAGATTCTAATTCATAAGCTGCTGAAGAAAGGTGTCTGCCATGGATGCTGAGAATGGAGCTTCCTCGTGCAATGGCAGTCTACCTCCAAATGCTAGCTGCCAGGGCTTGGCTGCTGTCTGTGTGCCTGTTTTGTGAAGTTCTCAAGCGCTGGAGGCCTGGGATCCAAAAGAGAACGAGGCTGTTATATACTTCTGGCATGACTCCTATTCCCCAGTCTCAGATACCAAATCTGATGCTCTTATCTTGCAATGTAGTTCTGCTCTTGAGAACTTGCACACTGTAGCGGTGGAGACAGTAAGCGGTGAACCTGAAACTCAAGCGATCACATCTCTGCTCTGCTACTGTCTCAGACCCCGAGGCCAGGCCTCCTTACTAGAAAACCTTGGTATTGATAGCACTCAGAAAAGAGGAAAAGCACTCATTACATGCTCAGGGGGCTCCCCCTCTTTTCTTACTTAAGTAGCCGTGTTTGTCCACTGCCCTGCACCCCAGGAACTGAAACTGATGTAGAAGGCTAATACCAACTGACCTAACAGCGTCATTGTAAGGATTATCAAAATCAAGAACACAAAGCACAGTGGAAGCTCAAAACGACTGCAAGCTAAGTCTGGTGGGATATTCTGCACTGTTGAACTACAACTCCCAACACCCCTGACCATTGGCCCTACTGGCTGGGACTGATGGGATTTAGAGTCACACCTCTGAGTTCATTTAATATGTGATCCCTGATAGGTTGGGATGTGTGTCCAGTATGCAGTGGGGAGCCTTTGGCCCTCCAGGTATTGCTGGACCCCCATCACCTCTAACCATTGACCATGCTGGCTGGGGGTTGATGGGAGTTGCAGTCCGGCAACATCTGGAGGCCCACAGGCTCCCCGTTGCTGTCCGACAACAATTGTTTTTTTTTTTAAATCATATTTATTAAAGTTTCCAAAAATATAAAAATACAAAGAAAAAAGACAAAAGAAAAAAGATATTTAAAAACCTTACTGTCATTCCCGACTTTCTGGGACTCCCCCTCCCCCAATTGTATTCCCCTTTCCTTAATTTGGTTCTACAAGCTCTCACTCCCAATTTAAAACTTAATTTGTTTAACCCACTATCCAGATTGAATTGTACAAATCTTACCACCGTCCCACATCATTAACAGAAAAAGAAAAAAGATCCCCAAGATCCACCCCAGTTCCTTCCACAAATTCCCTTTTTTTAAACACGTCCGATCAAAGTAAAATAACATACGTAAGTTATGTAAAGAAATAGAAAATAAGAGATATAGAAAAATTCAAAAAATAGTTACACAGCCTTTGGATTTCAAATCTCCCCCCCCCCCCTTCCCCGGTTTGAATTCCCCATGTCCATCAGTCTATACATTATCAGCTTGGAAGTCTCATTTCATGACCAGATTTCTCCCAGATTCCATCTTGCCGGTTTTCTTTTAGTTTATTAATTTAAATAATATTTGACTTCAAATGTCCAATCTAACAAAGGCCTTTAATTTCCTTGATCTTTACCGCTCCTCCCGTCGTTCTTTCCGTGTCGTAATCAGTCCTTTATTCTTCTTATTCCTCACTTTCTCAGGTTTCTTGTCCTGTTCAGCTGCTAAAACTTTCTAATTCAGAAATCTAGTGTCTCTGCAGAGGTTTGTTATTCAGGAACAAAAACTTACGTCCAGTCCCTTTCTTTCTTCAATAAAAATTCCATTGTCTTCCTCTGTAGACAAAATACTCTTTCAGTTTTGCAGCTTTCCCAGAAGATAACAAATCCTGTGCGAATCCCAGGGTATTTTTCCACTTACGACCGTTCTTGTAGTATCCCGAAACCCCTCTAGGGGGATTGTAATAACTTTGTATCCTCTAATCCAAAAGTCAAATTGTTGCTTATTTTCCAACAGTTTATATCCATATTATAGCAAATTGTAACAGAATTAACCAGCAAGGTCCTCGTAAAGTCCTCTTTATATTCTCCAGCTTTGACAGCCACTTTGACAGCTGTCAAAGTCTCCGTCTCTCTTCACCAAGCTCCACGAATCGCCCCGGTTCCCAGGGGGGGGGTTGCATTTTCTTCTCACCCTCCACTCTTCTCCTCCAGCACATTTCTTATAATTTCCCATCGTGAAATTAATGATTTTTATCAAAGACATACTTCCCTTTGGACCTTGGTTACCCAGTCCTTGTTTTGGAATGTTTACAATAGGGGGATTGACTTCCTTTTTAAATCGCCCCCGCTCGTGCCAAATCCAAAATTTTGAACCCGGTTTCCCAATTACTCACGGGTTGTTGTTAATAGTCCAAATTTTCAATAGAAGAAGTCAGCGCTCTCCGCCGAATGGCATGCGGCTGCGCTCGGCAGGGACAGCAGTGGACTCAAGCACCACGCCACTCCCGGCACCCGATCCGAAGCCTTTAAAAGGCTCCTTCACGAGTCGGGAGGGCGCTAATGGTGCAAGCCGAGTCACCCATGTCCACGGACTCCGTGCCCGTGGTTTTTAAGGGTCCCCGCGTCGCCGGCGCGGTAGGACCCAGCCCCTGCCGAGCGCTGTCCGACAACAATTGTTCCGCATGACGTTCGTACATGGACAGTTCACCACGTCCCCGTTCTGTACCCATGCTAGGAAGCCAAGGGCAACGTTCACACACAAACACACACACAAACACCCTTCAGCAACTCCCTGCTGGCCCATCGCTTTGCCACTGTCATCTCCTCCAGATTTCCAGCCCAACGAGCAAAAGCGCCTTGTGTGCACATCTTGAAATCGGAGGCCTTGACAAGAGTGACAGGCAGCCTCTCTCTCCACCTTCCTTTCATGTGCGAGGAGGGACCGCCACACTGTGGCTGGAGGTGCTGCCATCGTCGCCTCTCCAACAAGTCCCGTGCCCAGGGGCAGGACAACAAAGGACCCTCTTCTGCTGTTTAGAGGAACAGGGGTTTGCAACCGATGCAAACTGCATCTCTTTTCAGCTGCTCAAAAACGGTCCTCCACAAGCATCAAAAGCAGCATCTTTGGCCAGGGATGTGAGGTCTCTGGGGCCCTTCAGATGTGCTCAGACTCCATCTCCCATCAGCCCCCAGCCAGCATGGCCCATGGTCGGGGATGATGGGAACTGGAGTCCAACAACAACAGCAGCTGGCGAGCTATCCCTGACCTGAGGAGCCTGAAAAGTCCTGGGTTCAAATTTTGCCTCTGTCACAACCTCTCTCGCTGAATAAGCCACTGTCCGACACACACACACTCTCACACACACTATTAACATCTGGAGAACTGCAGGTTCCTCAGCCCTGCTCGAAGAAGCAGCGTGGCTCAGTGGGTAGAGCATGAGACTCTTGATCTCAGGGCCATGGGTTTGAGCCCCACGTTGCGCAAAATATTCCTGCATTGCAGGGGGTTGGACCAGATGCGCCTAGGGGTCCCTTCTAGCTCTAAAATTCTATGATTCTGTGCTGCATGGGAGAGATGCAGAGATGCAAGAATGCCTCTCAAGATAGGTGGATACCTCTTAAGGCATGGGTAGGCAAACTAAGGCCTGGGGGCTGGATCCAGCCCAATCGCGTTCTAAATCTGGCCCGCGGACAGTCCAGGAATCAGTGTGTTTTTACATGAGTAGAATGTGTCCTTTTATTTAAAATCCATCTCTGGGTTATTTGTGGGGCATAGGAATTCGTTCATTTCCTCCTCCCCCCCAATATAGTCCGGGCCCCCCACAAGGTATGAGGAACAATCGACTGGCCCCCTGCTGAAAAAGTTTGCTGACCCCTGTCTTAAGGGCTAAGAAGGGAGACCTGCAGCTCTCAGGACAGCGCTGGACCCAAACTTGCAGCAGAGCTAATGGTCAGGGGTGCTGGGAACTGTAGTCCAGCGACATCTGGAGGGCTGCAGGTTTCCCCACACCTGTCCTTGGCACACCTCCCAACCAGTCAGGGATCACACATTCAGCTGCACCTACAGAGGTGTAAAGCAACCGTGTCTTAAGGCTGCCAGGGTACTTGTATAGAATTCTTTTAAAAGCACACAGTTCCAGCACATTTTCAACAGGCCCCGGATTCAGGAGGCACCTAATGTTTTCGCCAGGGTACAGGAATCCGCAGCAATAATATGCATGTTCAATATGCATCTCCCCCTCTTTCCTGGTCCCCCCAGGAACCTGCAACGCGGCTTCCATGTTAAGATCCGTTTAAATAATACAGAACGGTGCCCACACAGCTCCCTCTTAAAATTTGGCAACGGGAGCTTTTTGCAATCAATGGCCTATTCTGTAGGCGTTTAAAAATCGATGAACGCTTACCCCCAAAACCCAAGAGGTAGAAGAGGATGAAGGGGAGGCAGAAGAGGGTTTGCAGCTGGAACAAATCCAGCCTCGCAAGTCCATTTGCACAGGCTGGAGAAACACCGGCAATCGGGGTGCAAGTGGGGCTGCTTAGAGCGGCAGGTCTCCAACCTTTACAGATCCAGGACCTGCCTTCAGCCCAGATGTGCATAGAATCACAGAACTGTAGAGTCCGAAGGGACACCCAGGGGTCATCTATCCCAAACCCCGGCAATGCAGGAATCTCAACTAGGTCATCCCTGACAGATGGCCATCCAACCCCTGCTTAAAAACCTCCAAGGAAGTTCTCTCGCACTCTGTGCACTCAGTCTAACCTGCCTCACTGGGTGCTGCCAGCCAGTGCAAACAGCACTGAGCTCAATGACCATTGGTGGCAAAAGGCAGATTCCTATGGTTCTAAGCAGGGGGCAGGGCCTGGTGGGAAACATCTGCGGGTGAGAGAGTGAGGCCTGTGGACCAGAGTGTCCCTGCCCCTGATGTGGGAACTTGGTAGGAGGCAAAGGGAAAGCCTGCCCTCTGCTGGAGAAGCTGCAGAGTCCCTGCCAGCCCAGACAAAACAACGCTGGCCTTGACAGGGTGAGCCGCCGGACCCAACAGACAGCACCTTCGTACGCTTCTCTGACGAACACAGGCAGGTCCCAACCTGTCAGGGATCTTGAATGCCTGGGATTATTCCTGGTCGTGCGCCCCAGGCAGGTCTGGAAGCCCGGCCAAGGCTTCTTGCAGAAATCCGGGCGCTGCCCTTTGAGGTGCTGGCCTAGGAATTTCGCTTGGCTGGGTGCGGCAGTGGCGGTGAGGGGCTAGTCCGGGGCGGGATCGCCTGACTTTATTTGCGGCCTTCTGCCAGCCGCTTTCTGCTCCTCTGGCGCAATGAGGGCTGACCCCTCCCTCGACCCGCCTTGGCCTCTTCCCTTTTCACAAGACGCCGTTTTCACACCACTTCAAAGGCAGCCGGTGATGGAAGGCTGAACGTTTTGCTCTGGGGCGGATCATTGCACCTTGATGTGTGTGGGGTTTGGGGGGGGGGAATGCGTTGCCTCCTGTGTGGCGCTGCCCGCACTTCCAAAGGGCCTAACTGGCACAGCCCAGAGAAAGGGCAGGCAGACCAAGGAAGCTGTGTCTTTGCTGCCCCACCTCAGGCCTAGCAACCAGGGATGGTGCCTCTGAACACTAGTAGAGTGCCTTTCTCCTAGGCTGTGACCCTGGGGTGGTGAAAGCTGTGGGCTGTGCATGGCATGAGGCCTGAGTTTCATGGCTGAGGGGGGAATTTGCACCTGGGTCTCCTCAAAGACCCGTGTGGGTCATGGGTGGCGCTGTGGTCTAAACCACAGAGCCTAGGACTTGCCAATCAGAAGGTCAGCGGTTTGAATCCCCGCGACGGGGTGAGCTCCCGTTGCTTGGTCCCTGCTCCTGCCAACCTAGCAGTTCGAAAGCACGTCAAAGTGCAAGTAGATAAATAGGTACCACTCCAGCAGGAAGGTAAACGGTGTTTCCATGCGCTGCTCTGGTTCGCCAGAAGCGGCTTAGTCATGCTGGCCACATGACCCGGAAGCTGTATGCCGGCTCCCTCGGCCAATAAAGCAAGATGAGTGCCGCAACCCCAGAGTCGTCCGCGACTGGACCGAATGGTCAGGGGTCCCTTTACCTTCTACCTCCTCAAAGTACCAGGCATATGATGCAGAAGGCCCAGCTTGGCTGCAGTCAGTGTGGGAAAAGGACCCAGGCACTTCCTTGAAGCTTGAACTTGTTTTATTATGGATTGCTTTATTTTATCTTTTTAATGTAAGCTGCTTTGAGTCTTTTCCTTTAGGATATAAAGCGGTATAGAAATGAAATCATCAACAACAACATATTTTACTGTATTTTTGGTTTCTATGGAAGCCGCCCAGAGTGGCTGGGGAGGCCCGGCCAGATGGGCAGGGTATAAATGATAAATTATTATTATTATTATTATTATTTCATGGGGGGTGGGGAATGGCACCTAGACATTCTGTTGTGGCAAGCATAACCTAGGCTACAGGTGCCATTTGGCGATCAGCTTATATGAGTTTCTAACGCTGCTTGGGCTATGCACCCTTTGCTGGGAATAAAGTCTCACTGACCTCCCTTCTGGATAGGCATGCATAGGATTGCACTTTGTAGCTGATCCAAAGCTGAACGTAAGACTGTGTTTGGGGAGGGGGGACAGCGTCCCTTGTGCTCAGTGGAAATTATATAGTGAGCTCAGATCACCGCTCTCTATCCTCTCGCTGGGGAAAGCTCCTTTTTGCGCAGGGAAGACGCAGGCAGTAATTCAGCTCAAACACCGCCTCTCCCTTTTCTGTAAGTGAAGCTGCAGGCAAAATTCAACAGGGACAGCAACCTTCCCCCTCTACCCCAAGTGACGGGAAACATCCCCTGTTGAACCTCTGCCTGCATTCTTACCCCGGTAAGCAAGCGGGTTCCGACCCAGCCACAAACTTCTACTTAGATGCAAAACAACAGCCAGAGTCCCAACCCTCGCCTCTCCCCATGGCTCAGGAGAGAGAGAGAGCGCACAGGGATTGCTTTCTGCAGTGGGACCTATTAGAACTATCGGCAGCCTGGTAAACAGTCTCAGGAATAAACTGAAGGGCTGGAGAGGAGAATAATTTTTTCTCAGGGCTAAAAATCGGGGGCTGGGCAGCGATTTGTCTAAACTAGGGGCGGAGGGGAAACCTGTGGCCCTCTGGGTGTTGTTGGGAATCCAAATCCCATCCTGCATGGCTGGTGGTCAGGGATGATGGGAGTTGTAGTCCAGCAAAAAAAAAAAAATTAAAAAATTGGCAGGTCCCACATCACGCTTCACCTCATTTCCAGAATTTAAAGGAATCCAACTAGTGCCAAACGGGGGGTTGGGTGGGATCCAATGGTTTGTGTAAATGAATCCATTCACATCCATGTGGACTAGAAACTGCCCTTTTCTGTTTTAAGTGAAAGCTGCAGTTTGTCTGCACTTCCTGTTGGGGCAACTGCAGAGTAGGGAAATTGAACCCTGGGCTCCAAGGTCCTCAAGTCCACTACTCTGAATATCCGTCTGTTGCCCAGGGAGGCTCACCTGACATCAACTTTCTCGTCACTTCCAGACCACGCAATGGCATTTTTATTTTCCCAACCATTCTGATAGCACAGATCGGTTGATGTTATAGTCTTAAGTTTTGGACACACTAATGCATGTCAGGGGGAAGGGCTCAGGGGCAGGACGCCCCAGGTTCAATCCCCCAGCATTGCCAGGGAGGGCTGCCTGAAACCCTGGACAGCTGCTGCCAAGTCAGTGCAGACCGGTGGTTCCCAAAAGGGGGTGGCCAGTGGCTTCTAGCCACAACCTCTATGTTCTCCCTCCACGCTCGGGGTCAGTGATGTGCCTCCGTTGCCGGGAGCAGCGAGTGGGGAGAGTTGCTCAGGTCCTCTTGCAGGATGATGGAGGAGACGGGACTTTGGCCTGATCCGGCAGGCCTCTTAAGTTATTATGACTCCTCTACACACACACACACACACACACACAGCAGTGTGGTTCCTTGCGCTTCCGAAAGGACCTCGAGGATGCTGGAGCCACACCTCGACTTCTCCAAAAGAGAGCGCAGCTGCAAACCGCCAACAACCACCCCAGCACCCCCCTCGGGCCAAATCCCCGCCCAGGATGACGCTCGGCTCCTGCCCAGGCGAGTACAACGTGCTGCTGTGCCCAGCCACTTGGATGCTGTGCTGAAAAGGACACCCCTTCCTGCCATAACTCACTTGCGCCCGTGGCATCCCTTGGCTCTCTTCCTCGCATGGAGGGATCTTCTCCCCCCCCAACCTCTCCCAACTTTGCAGCAGAGCTGGGGAAGGGAAGAGCTCTGTGGGTAGGCGAGGGAGAGGCTCAAGGCCTGGGACCTTCTCTGCACCATCCCACAGGATATGGAAAAAGTATTTTAAATAAAAGACAGAGAGAAAAGAGCTGGGGGCTGGCTACTATGCACCACACATGCCTATCAGTTGCTGGGTGCTATATAGCAGGGTATAGAGGAGGAGCTGCTGACAGGCAGAACCTCCATGTTCAGATGCAGTCTACCCCCAAAAGCCGGTTCTCCCCAGATGCAGCTGCTGGGGCCTGCAACTCCCCTCGTCCCTGATTACTGGGTGACACTGCCCAGATTGAGGGAGCAGGAGGGCCGTTTCTTTTGTGCCCTTCTTGGGGCAGATGGTTGGCTCCTTTCGGAAAGAAAATACTAGCGGCTAGGGGGGACTCCTGCAAGAGGGCGGTCCTAATAAGGCACAGAAATGCCTCTTAAGCTCAACGCAGTGACGGTCAAGCATCCATGTCCAGAGATAGTCTACCATGGAATAAAGGTAAAGGGACCCCTGACCATTAGGTCCAGTCGTGGATGACTCTGGGCTTGTGGCGCTCATCTCGCTTTATTGGTCAAGAGAGCTGGCATTTGTCCACAGACAGCTTCCGGGTCATGTGGCCAGCATGACTAAGCCGCTTCTGGCGAACCAGAGCAAAGCACGGAAACGCCGTTTACCTTCCCGCCGGAGTGGTACCGATTTATCTACTTGCACTTTGATGTGCTTTCGAACTGCTAGGTTGGCAGGAGCAGGGACCGAGCAACGGGAGCTCACCCCGTTGCGGGAATTCGAACCGCCGACCTTCTGATCGGCAAGTCCTAGGCTCTGTGGTTTAACCCACAGCGCCACCCACGTCCCTCTACCCTGGAATACCGGAGGACAAACAGCTGGGGAGGGCACAACATCTGCTTTGTACACAGAAGGTCCAAACCCCAACGGCCCCCCAGGTGGGAGAGAGACTCACTCGGGAACCCTGGGGAGTGGCTGCCAGTCAGAGCAGGCAGTACTGAGCTAGATCGACCAATGGTCTGACTTAGTATATAGCAACCACCTATGTAACTCCTGCGATTTCACGCCCTGCCTGTGAGTTTCCTGGGAGGGGTCTGGAGAGCCCCACCTGGACCCAAGATGCTGGAACCAGGACCCCCCCCCCAAACTACTCAGCAGCAGTTTCCTGTTAGCTTCGGCAGCATCTGGAGGTCTCCCTGCCCCTTCTGCCGGTGCGTGGAGGGTTAAGGCACCGCGGCGGAACAGGAGCGACATCGCTTCTGCACGGCTGGGTTTTTAGAACAGGCGCTTTCAGGGCAGAGGCACCTTCCATCATCCTGTCGGAGCCGGGCAGATGGATTTCCCCTGGCAGAACCGCCAGCGACGAGCGCTGCCCGGGCACGGCGTCCGGCAGCCCAGGAACCCGCCAGTGCCCCCCGAGATCGCTGGCAAGTGGCAGAGGACAGAGGGTGGGGGGTGGAAGGAGAGGTGCCAGGGGTTGCCCATCTGCCAGGCTAAAAGGGGGGCTGGTGGGGCAGTGCAGTGGGGACGGCCTGGTGCCTGCTGCGGCGATGGCAGAGGATGGCCACGTGGCAACAGAGAAACGGGCAGGGCTAGGGGAAGCAGTGGGTGGGCGGGAGAGAGAGGATGTTGTACCCAAAATGACACATCGAGGAGAACTGGGCTCTTGGAACAGGCCAAGAAACCTCCTTCCTCGATGCATTCCTGCTCAATGCTACAGCGGCCAATGAAAACGCCTCAGGGAGGGTTACCAGCAGGGCATGATGGGAATATCCTTCCCTCGTTATTAGGCCTCAGCATCTGGCAAGTCAGAAGCAGGATGTGGGGACTTGTGCTCTCCAGCAGCTCGTGGCTTAGTGGCAGAGCATCCACTTTGCACACAGAAGGTCACAGGTTTGATCTCAGGTGTAGGACTAGGAGAGGCTGCTGCCCGGACCCTTGGCGAGCCCCTGCCAGTCAGCGTAGGCAGCACTGGGATAGATGAGCCCATAGTGTGACTCAGTACGAGGGAGTTTTGGGGAAAGGAACATCTGCTTCACAGGCAGAAGGTGCCAAATTCAAACCCCGGAGGTATCTCCGTATAAGACAAGGAGAGACACTCTCTCTGAAACCAAGGAGAGCTGTGGCCAGTCAGTGGAGATAGTACTGGGCAAGGCAGACCAATGTAGCAAATAGATAAATAAACCCAGTGGCGGTAAGTTCCATAGGCTAAGTGTGCATGAAGAAGAACCTCAGAGTTCCATTTGCCCCTTGAGTTTTGGCAGATGGCTCAAACGCAGGTGAACGCCAAGCAGGCAAGGACAGCGCTGGCGTTTAGGCCCTTGCTTAATATTCTGCTCATCCCAGACCTTCCCTGAGGCGTGATCCAGCTATGCTGCTGTATTAAATCTGACCTACTGATTTTGTGAAGTTGTTTTGTACTGGTTTTATGAATGTAATTCTATGGTTGATTTTATGCTGTTTATCACCGTGCTATATATATATATATTCTCACCAGGTCTGTGACCGCACAATAAAATTTGCTCTTGGGTCTGTGACTAGAGAATAAAATTTGTTGATGTTGCTAGATTTGTTGTTGTTGTGTGGGGTGGGTAGGTGTGTGTGTGCGTGCGTACACACACACACACACACACACACACACACCAAAGGGGCTGTGCCCTTGCTTGCTCCACTCACCGCCCCCCTGCCATTCCACCCCCCACTAAACCCCTATACAACCTGCCACCCTAACGTCCTGCAAATCTAGGATTGTGAGGTGCTGCTACAAATCCTCCCAAGAGGGCTGCGTGGTGACAGCCTTACATTTCTATGTATATAGGAAGATATACTTAGGTATTCTTAATGTCATTGAAAATTTTGCAGAATAAACAAGCACACCATCTGAAGCCTTTCCGAGTACAGATCCCTCCCACATCCAGCCTTTTACCTCTTTTGAAAAACTTTCAGGCCATTTGTGCCTTTTAAGCTTTGCGGGTGGGGGGACCGGACACACACACACACACACACACACACCTCTGTTGGCCTTCTAGCAGCGAGACATCGCAAAGAGCGAGTGCACATGTGGTTATGCCAGAGACTGTATGACACTGGCTCAGAGGAGACCTCCACCCCGCGGTGCAGGCGGCCACTCGGCCCTCCGCTCCAGCTTTGCCTTTGTGCATGGAGAGGTGGGGGTGGGGTGGGGAGGAGGGTATTGATCGGCTAAGAGCAACACAGCTCATTGATTTTACACTTTCTTTCCCCGACAGAGTACACAGCAGCAGAGACTTTGCTGTGGGGGGAGGCGGGAGTGGGCAGGAGAGAAGAGGGGAACTTAGTTATTGGAGATGGGTGAAGGGCGGCCCACTTTCATGCCCCCCCCCAAAAAAGCTGGGGGGGCACAGGTTGGCCTGCTGAGCTCAACTAGCCAACAGAAACACTGAACTGGAGATGAGGGACTTCAAGCCTGGAGACTAATTGTGACCCCCCCCAGGCATCTCCATCAGGCCCTTGGGACCCACTGTAAGGCCCCCAGAACACATCCTTCAATAGGCTGTGCTCTGTACCTTCCTTAATGTTTTTTGCCCTGCTGGAATATGTCCATGAACTCTCATAATGTTTCTTGCATGCCTGGATGCAGGAGAAGACAGAGGGTGGGTGGGAGAGAAACTAGTCTTTTGTAGAAAGGTGAAATTTACATTTGCTGCTCCACCCACCCTCTGGCCCCGCCCACCACCTGCATGTGGCCCCTGGAAGGGAATGCGGCCCTCGGGCAGGAAAAAACACCCCCACCCCAGCATTAAAACCTAGGCTACCAAAGGACGTTAGGAGAGAGCCCTGCTGGATCAGGCCTCATAAACAACCCCCTAGTTCAGCATGTGCAGGGGGTATTCGGGGAGGGGTGGTACTTTGGGGGACCCACACATTGTGCTCCTTCTGGGCTACTTTGTTCACCTTTGGTCCCCACCCTGAGCTCAGCTCTCACCTGTGGCTCTTAGAAGCTGGCAGCGTGCGACAGAGGCCACACCTGGGGAACAGCTTTGACTGGCTGACTAAACCAAGTCTCAAGACTAAACCAAGGGTCTCAAACTCTTGGTGAGTTAGGGACTTTGGTGCTGCTAACACAGCGATTTGACTTCACCCCCGGAGGCACACTCCATTGTCCAGCATCCTGCTCTCCCAGTGGCGCACCAAGATGCCTCAATGGGAATAATAATAAAAAATAATAATAATAATAAAATTTATTTATATCCCGCCCTTCCCAGCCAAAGCCGGGCTCAGGGCGGCTAACAACAATAGCCTGCAAGCCGGACCTGAGAGTACCCAGCTACGCTCCCCGCTTGTGATGTCCACCCATTAGCCTTCAGAAGAACCTTTGCCTCTGCCAGCGAAGCCTGCCTGCCCCCCCAATCCCATTTATTGGGGAAGAGCCGATTAAAAGCTTCCTTGCCTGCCCTACCAATTTGAACAGGCGACCAAGCACGCTATTTACTACAAGACAAAGTCGGATTTATTGCAAATAAATTAATTGATCTGGTTGATTTCTATTTAGCGAGGAAGAAAGCAGAGGCCTGCAGGGCGCAGGGAGAGGGCCTGACTGCTCATTTGTCTGCTCAGGCCTTTGTGTCTCCCGTAGGAACGCAGGAAGGTGCCCTATACAGAGTCAGGCCGCTGGGTCCCTCTAGCTCAGTAGTGTCTACACTGACTGGCAGCAGCCCTCCAGGGGTTCAGAAAGGGGACGTTTCCAGTCCCTCTGGAGATATCAGGAGATTGAGCCTGGGACATTCTGCATGCAAAGGTGCTATCCTAATCTTTTGTTGGAAGCTGCCCAGAGTGGCTTGGGAAACGGAGCCAGATGGACGGGGTATAAATAAATAATAATAATAATAATAATAATAATTACTACTACCACAGCTACAGCTAGATGACTCAAGTATATGATGCAGGTATGGTGTTAACACAGGAACAGCCAATGCACAGTCCTCCAGATGGACTACAATTCCTATCATTCCCAGCTTGTGGGGTAAATGGTTAGGGATGATGGGAGTTGCAGTCCAGGAGGGCACCAACCCTTGGTCTAGCACAAAGGTGATGAACATCTGTGGCCCTCCAGATGTTGTCAGGATCCGATTTCCATCAGCCCCAGCCGGCAGGGCCGATCACCAGGGAGGATGGGAACTGTAGTCCGTCGCCATGTGGGTTCTCCATCCCTGGAGAGTGTCAAGATCAGAGGCCGGGGGAGACCCAGGCTCTGCCATACAGCCTTGGGCACTGAGTCATTCATCCTAGGCCGCCTCGCAGGCTTGTTGTGGGAAGCAAACAAACCTTTTGGGAGGAAAGATGGAGGAAAATGTAAGGGGCAGAATGTTTGAAGAGCCAGAGGCAAAGGTTGAGATGTTTGCATCAGGAATGACTTCACTCCTCAAGTAAATACACCTCAAGTTTTGTGCTTTGGGGAGAGGGAAACAGAAAGCAACATCAGCCTGGCGAGAGAAGCAAACTAGAAACACTTTCTTAGATTTCCTCCCTCTCGCCATCGTCCGCCCGACAACAGCCACGCGGGTAAATCCCCAGTAAATCTAGAGCCTGCCCGCTTTGGCTAACAAGATCAATGGGATTTTTAATTGAGTTTTAATTAAGCGATCAATCTGCAGCTGGCAACTCAATTAAGGGGTCCGTGTGGCACCAGGGAGAGCGCGGCCCACCCCCAGCGGCGCTCAGGTTGCCTGCCACAGGTCGGGAACGCCTGTCTGGACACCCCGGCCACCTGCGCTCGGGGACCCCAACACCCCAGTACTGCCCCCCCCCCCGGTTAAGTGCTGCAGCCCCATCTCTCCCCCTGCACACATGTCTCCATTGCAGGAACAGCTATTCGCACTCGGCAAGGCACAAGGCACCCAATGCCACACTGCAAGCCTTTTGCACAATAACAAACTTAAAAGTAGCCCTGTTGGATCACGCCAAAGGACCCAGCTACTTCAGCAAACTCCCAGCAGCCAAGCTGGTTCTTCCCCAAGTAGGGGAATGGGAAGTTGCTTTTTACAGAGGTCAGACGACTGTGTTAGAAATGAAGATACATAAGCTAGGTGCTAAATGGCTCCTTAAGCCAAGATTGCAGTCGCTAAAACGAAACGTCTACAGTGGAAGCTCGGGTTGCAAATGTGATCCGTGTGGGAAGCACGTTCGCAACCCATAGCGTCCGCAACCCGCAGCGCCACGTCTGCGCAAGCACAGGTTGTGATTAGGCGCTTCTGCGCATGCACAAAGCGCGATTTAGCGCTTCTGCACATGCACAAGCCCCGGAAGTAACCCGTTCCAGTACTTCCGGGTTCGGTGTGGTGCGCAACCCAAAATCACGCAACCCGGAGCGTCTGTAACCCGAGGTATGACTGTAGTTGCCATTTGTGGGCAAGACGGCTCTCAAGTCTTACTTTTCAAATGACGGACTGACTGCGATTGATTCTCGGTTAAACATCTGGCTAGTTCAGGTGACAACCTGAACATTTATCTTGGCTTGTTCTTAACTCTTTGATTGTGCGGATAAAATATAACTGATCGAATTCTACAGGATGTGTCGCTAGTATGTGAAAGCAGTCCAGATCCCATGATCCCCAGGCACGCACCTCCATCCTGGTGCCCAGGCACCTTCACTTGATCACAAGTGGTCAAAATGTGCCCGGGGCCTGGCTAATTTCAAACACTGGTCCACCTTAGTTCAGTATTGTCTACACTGACTGGCAGCTCTCTAGGATTTCAGACCAGGTTCTCTCCCAGCCCTGCCAGGAGATGTCAGGTATGGCGGAAACGTTTCTCAGCCCAAATTCTGGCACTCTTGACAGGCCCTGGGGCTCTGTCCTCGTTCACACAGGCATAAACACACCTCCTAACTCCCTTCGTTGACATTTTTTCCACCTTGCTCTGTAGAGACACCCAGTTACCAGCAGCCAAGTCCTGCTTGCTTGACACCCATGAGTCACGAGCTCAGTTTTGGGGAGCTGCCTTGTCCTCGGGGACTTAGTTCCACCTTCACCTGCTGAGAAAAGGAAGAAAGCACCACAAAACTGGGCGCAACAACCGGTCGACACCTTTGCTGATGAAAGGCATTTTGTTTTGAAGGACGGGGAAAACGCTGGGGAACAAACCCTGCCCAAAGTCAACACCCTCCTGTGCTTCTGAAATTCCCCTCCCTCCTCCCATGTGCAGGAGCTGGAGAGCAGAAAGGAAAAGCATTTTGCACATGCTCAGGAACCACACGGTTAACTGTAACCTTGTTCATTGCTCCTGCTCAGGCCGCACAGAAAAAGCATTTTGGTTCCAGAAATTCTTTCCGATTGTGCAGATAAAATATAATCGATGGAATTCTATAGGGTGGGGTCTTGGTGTGCGAAAACAGTCCAGATCCAAGGATCCTCAGATGATGGAGATGTCAGGTCTTCACTTGGTCGCAAGTGGTTGAAAGCCAGGTGCAAAATGCTCCTGGCGTCTGGCTAATTTCAAACACTGGCAGTGGCTCTCCAGGGTTTCAGACAGGGGACATTCCCAACCATACTTGAAGATGCCAGGGACTGAACGTGGACCCTCTGTTTAAAAGGCAGATGCTTACCAACCCTTCCTTGACTTCACCTTTCCCCCCCAGAGACACAGATCCAAGCCTGGAGGCTTCACTTTCTGCCTGCAATCCCATTCATCCCTGGCCCCTGCCTGCCTCCCCCCTCCATAGATGGGGATTAAGGCCCCGGGCTTTTGACCTCTCTCTGCCCAGCATCAGTGGCAGCTGCGAGGCCACAGCTCTCACCTGCCCAGAGAGCGAGCAGCCAGCCAGCCAGCCAGCCAGCCGTTCAGGGCGCACAAAGGAGGCTGAGGCAGCGGCCCCCGCAGGAGCTGAGAGGCTGCCGCTTTGAAGGGTTCTCCATCTCAACAGCTTGCGGCCTCCGAACACACGGCTGCTGTGGAGCTCGAGCAGATAAGAAGCGCCTTGAAGTGGAAACGCCGGGCGCTGCTGCAGGCGGACGGGTCTCCAGTCACCAGGCGCGGCAGCAGAAGGGACCACGGGACGGGCGCTTAAACGCTCTGGCGCAGGGGCATCTCAAGAGGGAAGACGCTGGGCCGGAGGGGTGGAGGGGCAAGGTGGGAAAAGAGGGTGTTGTCTCACCCCCTGTCAAAGCCATCCAAGTTGGCCACTTCTTTCCCTTGTGTGAGCAAATTCCACAGTTTAACCGTGCAAAGAAGCACTTCATAGAATCATAGAGTTGGAAGAGACCACAAGGGCCATCGAGTCCAACCCCCTGCCAAGCAGGAAACACCATCAGAGCACTCCTGACATATGGTTGTCAAGCCTCTGCTTAAAGACCTCCAAAGAAGGAGACTCCACCACACTCCTTGGCAGCAAATTCCACTGTCAAACAGCTCTTACTGTCAGGAAGTTCTTCCTAATGTTTAGGTGGAATCTTCTTTCTTGTAGTTTGGATCCATTGCTCCGTGTCCGCTTCTCTGGAGCAGCAGAAAGCTTCCTTTCGTGGGTCCTGATCAAAACGTAATAAATCCTGCTAAGTCCCCCATATAGCGATCACACGGGCTGAGCACCAATAAAATCCACCCACGACAAAAAGGATTCACCTTTTTCCCACAGAACACAACACCATGATGCCACCGCCCCATTCAAGATTCCTATTCTGCTGTGAGTTCTGGGGCTCCCGAACGTAAAAGTTCCCCAAACATGAATGGGATAAAGAAACCCAGCAACGTTCATAAAAGAACCTGTTGGATCAGGCCCATGGCCCACCTAGTCCAGCATCCTGTTCTCAGTGTGGCCAGCCAGACACCTCTGGAAAGCCCACCATTCCAGGACCAGAGTGCAACAGCAACTCTCCTTACTGGAGACCTCAGATATTCAGAGGTCTGCTGTCTCCAAAGCTGGAAGGAAATCTGCAGCCATCATGATTAGCAGCCACTGATAGGCACTGAGTGTAGCCCTGGGGTCAGCAAGGTTTACCTCGCCTGGGCCAGTTCACTCCAGTGGAGATCCCTCTGTGGGCCTGATTTTGCGCGCGCATTAGCACATGCGCCCGCGATTTCCGGCGTCTGCACAGACGTGATTTCCGGCACCGCGGAAGCGAGTCCCCATGCTGTGCTGCTTTAGCGCAGCGCGCAGGGACTCGCCGAACGGGTAGCTCAGTTCGGGGGCTGCTTATGGGCTGGTTAAATGACCCCCATGGGCCGCTTGTGGCCCATGGACCTTAGGTTGCCTACCCCTGGTCTAGCACATCAAAGGACAAACAGCTTCCGGTGACTCAAGTAAGCCAAGCTATTCACTCAAGAACATAAAAGCCAGGCCAGTGGGCAGTGTGAGAAACTGAGGTATATAAGCTGATCCCCAAATGGTACCTTAAACCTGGGTTGTGGTAGCCACAACAGACTGTCTAGGTGCCATCCCTATCCCCCGATTGCATCTTCACCATCACCGTTTATTATTATTATTATTATTATTATTATTATTATTTCCAATTTCTATACTGCTTTATATTTTAAATTAAAAAAAACCAAAGCAGTTGACAACACCTTAAAACATCAATAAAACAATCGAGAATAAAAGAAATACAAGCTTCAAGGAAACTATTTCAGATCCTTCGCTAAAGGACATTTGCCCTTTTCTCCATATTGATTTACCTACTTAATTTGTAGTGCTGCCCCACAGCAGAAGGACTCTAGGCGGCCAGGGTGCTGTAGTGGTTAGAGTGTTGGACTGGGACCTGGGAGATCAGGGTTCAAATCCCCACTCAGTCAGGAAGCCTGGCTTTCAGCTTCTTGAGTCCTTTGAGAAAAAGGTGGGGTGTAAATGCACCCCACTCACTGGCTTAAGAAAGCTGGAGGGGACAGCCAGATGGAGGTGTCAGTCACAAACCTGGCATTCAGAGATCTCCACGGGGTTGCAATTGGACCCCTGCGCCAGTCGCAAAATGAGCCTGGCACTATTTTTCGCTCTATAAGACGCACCAGACCATAAGACGCACCTAGTTTTTGGAGGAGGAAAACAAGGGGGGCGGGAATATGAATCCCAGAAGCCGGAACAGCTCTGAGCAACAGTTCTGGCTTCTGGGATAGCTGCGCAGCCTGCATTCGCTCCATAAGACGCACACACATTTCCCCTTACTTTTTAGGAGGGAAAAAGTGAGTCTTATAGAGCAAAAAATACGGTAATTTCTAACACTGCACAGTGGCCCGTCCAGTCCTGCATCCTGTTTTCACAGTTGCCAACCAGATGCCTCATTGTGAACCCCACAAGCAAGATTCGGCCACAAGAACACTCTCCCTTCCTGCAGTTTCCCGCAACTGGCATTCAGAAGTATTACCGTCTTCGACAGAGCCTAGCCGTTGCAGCTACCAGCCCCAGGAAGCCTGGTACTCCGTGAATTCTCTTCCCAGACGCGGCCATCCCAGCTGAGCAAGAAAACCTCCCATTACCAGTCCAGCCTGTTGGTAACCCTGGTTCTAGTGCCGCAGGTTTTACCCAGAATCCTCCTCTTCTTCCCAGTCACACCGCCAGCCTTCGCTACCACCAGAAGCTGTTCCCTCTTACTGGACGGGGACCAATTCCTCTCAAAGACGCTTCATCGGCCTGACAAGGTAGATTTGAGTGTTGCTGACATAAACGCAAAGAGGCAAGGCTCTCTCCGCGGACGAGGCTGGCGCGCTCTCTGACCGCAGTGAGCCAATGTCGTTTCGAACGCTCACGGCGGGGCTGAACTCTTTCTTAACTGGAAGGGAAAGGCTCCACCGCCCGACCCATCCCAGAAAAGAATCTCCTAAAAGGCTTGCAATTTCCACCCTCCCCACAATTAACTTACATTGGGGGGCGGGTGCGTTAGGGCTTTGGTATCTGAAGCTCACAGGGTTGTCTCTCAGCCTAGCCTACCTCACAGGGCTGTTGTGAGGAGGATACTGGGAGAACCACATGCAACCACCTTCAGCTCCTTGCTTGGGGTTAGGTAAGGTAAAGGTAAAGGGACCCCTGACCGTTAGGTCCAGTCGTGGCCGACTCTGGGGTTGCGGCGCTCATCTCGCTTTAGTGGCCGAGGGAGCCGGCGTACAGCTTCCGGGTCATGTGGCCAGCATGACTAAGCCGCTTCTGGTGAACCAGAGCAGCGCACGGAAACGCCGTTTACCTTCCCGCCAGAGCGGTACCTATTTATCTACTTGCACTGGTGTGCTTTTGAACTGCTAGGTTGGCAGGAGCAGGGACCGAGCAACAGGAGCTCACCCAATCGCGGGGATTCGAACCGCCGACCTTCTGATCAGCAAGTCTTAGGCTTTGTGGTTTATAATGCCATTAAAAAAAATATGCTAGGATGAATAATCTCTACTGCAACATCAGGGCTGCGGGTCCTTTTTCAGACTGAGGGCCGCATTCCATTCTGGGGGCCGCATGCTAGGGATGGGCGGGGCTGGAGGCAAAAGTGGGCGGGGCAACACACGCAATTTAAACCTTTGTACAAGGCGGCTAGTTCTACACCTACAGACCCCTTGCTAGGAAGGGGTGTGGCCTGAGGAGACTCCCAAGGGCCAGACAGAGAAGACCAAAGGTCCGAATGTGATTCTTGAGAATCAGGTTCCCCACACCACCTCCAAGTAGTAGTAGTAGTAGTTTATATTTATTATATTATCACTTCTTTCAGGACAAAAGAATGCAAAGCGACTTACGGAAAGGGGGTGTGATTTCTGCAGAAATGGAAAATGGGGGATTTTGAAGGATGCAGCTTCTCACCTTGCTTTAGGGGCCAGTGGGAATTTGAACGCAGGGCCTGCTTGCTCTGAGACACTCTGGATGAGGGACCTCGGCCCTCCAGATGTTGTTGGATTCCAACTCCCACCAGCCCCAGCCAGCAAGGCCCCTAGTCCAGGATGATGGGAGGTAGAGTCCAGCAACATCTGGAGGGCCACAGGTTGCCAACCCTTGATACTGACACACATCCCAACCAATCAGGGATCACATATTAAATGGGCCTGCAGAGTATATAAAGCAGGGATGGGACTCCCATCAGCCCCAGCTAGCATGGCCAATGGGCAAGGAGCTGTAGTTCAACAATGCTGCACATATTATGTTCTTAATGTTGTACACAGCTCTGGGATCTCTGGATAAAGGGCGGTACATAAACTGAATAAACAACAACAATGTTCTTGGACTACAACTCCCATCAGCCTCAGCCAGCACAGCCCATGCCCAGGGATAATGGGAGTTGTAGTCCACATTTGGCTGTCTGAGCTGTCTGGGATCAATTCACCTTGGGCCATAAGGAGCCTTCCTATGTGGAAGTACTGTGCCCAGAGCTCAAAAATCACGCTAATGAAATTCCCTGTTGCAAAATGTGCCTAGAACAATGGGAGTTTCTAATGCTGTGTACACCGCCCTGAGATTTTTGGATAAAGGGCAGTGACAACAACAACAACAACAATGTCGTTCTCAGACTACAACTCTCATCAGCCTCAGCTGGCATGGCCGATGGGCAGGGATGATGGGAGTTGTGGTCCACATTGACTGACTATATTTGGATTATGTTGGCATCATTTTTACAGGTGGAGGAATAAAGAGAGCCCCCACCCCACCCTGGGCGGATGGATGAATCTGTCCATTTCCGTTTAGCTTTGTTTTCTTAATTCTTCCAATCTTAAATGCAGTTCTCCACATTTCCACAGCAATTTGCAATTCATTTATTTTTAAATCTTCCCCCCATGATCTCATGATGGCAGCTGGAGGGCCTCTGGTTACAGGACAGGGTCAAGAGACTGTGGGGACTTTTGTAGGATACAGAGGGGACTTGCTGTCAAAGGAACTGGAGATGAGCCAAACTACAGGTGGCATCGGAGTGTGTGTGGAATCATAGAGCCATAGAGCTGGAAGGGACCCTGAGGATCATCTAGTCTAACCCTCCTTCAATGCAGGAATATGCAACTGTCCCATACGGGTGTCGAACCTGCAACCTTGCTGTTATCAGCACCACGCGCTCTCACCAGCTGAGCTATCCAGGCAGACCAGAACTCGGTTCTCCAGCTACTCCTCACAACTTGGTCCAAAAGAAACAACTGCTCTCAAGGCATTATATAGAAGAGCAGACAGACAGACAGCTATAAATAAAAAAAAATTAGAAATCCCAGTTCCGAGAGATTTCTCTCCAAAAAAATGCTAAGTTGGTAGTCCTCACTAATCACCCCTGTCAGTAATTGCAACTCAATGGAAAACAGCCTGAAATCTTACACCCAACACTTGTTATCACTCATTCTGGAACATAGCTATAATGGAGGAAATTGCACAGAATTTGAGATTTCAGCAAGGACTGGAACCTCCAGGCACTTTTCATACGATCTGACATCCCTTTATTACATACACAGCTGAACCATCATTTTCAAGGCACCCGTCGTCACAAGCCCGGCAAATCTGGAACTAAACTTGACAATCAAATAACACTAATATTCTTTTTCTTTCTTTCTTTGAGGACAACTTTTGTTCTTGTTTCCTCTTTTTCCGTGACTGGGTCTTTGTGCCTCAGCCCGTGTGGAACAGTACTCATTCTGCGTTGAGTATTTTATGGTTCTGTTTTTCATGTTTACGTTTTCAGCCGCTGCTATAATTGTTCTACAGTGGTACCTCGGGTTAAGTACTTAATTCGTTCTGGAGATCCGTACTTAACCTGAAACTGTTCTTAACCTGAAGCACCACTTTAGCTAATGGGACCTCCTGCTGCTGCCGCGCCGCTGGAGCACAATTTCTGTTCTCATCCTGAAGCAAAGTTCTTAACTTGAACCACATTTCTGAGTTAGCGGAGTCTGTAACCTGAAGCGTATGTAACCTGAAGCGTATGTAACCTGAGGTACCACTGTATATTCATTATAAAATGAAGGGGGTGGGATCTGCCCCAGAAGGGCAGGGAGCAGCAACTGATTTACGCCAGGGCCCCCCAGGAATTGCTAGATATCAGCTCCTGTCATCACTCCTGACAACTGGCCAGGCTGGCTGATGGAGTCTAGCCCAAACACATGCCAAGTTGCTAGTCCTCACTACTCAAACCTGGGCCAGAAGCGCATAGAGCTGTTATTGATCTAGGCAGTGCTTGAAATTAGACAGCCTCCAGGTGTGTTTTGCGACTGGCACAGGTCCAGTTGTGACCATGTGGAGATATCTGGATGCCAGCTTGGCAAATGACATCTCCATCAGGCTGGCCCCTCCAGATTTCTTAAGCAGGTAATCAGAACAGCCTGTTTATTGCATTTATGTTGTTGTTGTTTAGTCGTTTAGTCATGTCCGACTCTTCGTGACCGCACGGACCAGAGCACGCCAGGCACTCCTGTCTTCCACCGCCTCCTGCAGTTTGGTCGGACTCATGTTTGTAGCTTCGAGAACCACTGTCCAACCATCTCGTCCTCTGTCGTCCCCTTCTTCTTGTGCCCTCCATCTTTCCCAACATCAGGGTCTTTTCCAGAGAGTCTTCTCTTCTCATGAGGTGGCCAAAGTCTTGGAGCCTCAGCTTCAGGATCTGTCCTTCCAGTGAGCACTCAGGGCTGATTTCCTTAAGAATGGAGAGGTTTGATCTTCTTGCAGTCCATGGGACTCTCAAGAGTCTCCTCCAGCACCAGAATTCAAAAGCATCAATTCTCCGGCAATCAGCCTTCTTGATGGTCCAGCTCTCACTTCCATAAATCACTACTGAGAAAACCATGGCTTTAACTATACGGACCTTTGTTGGCAAGGTGATGTCTCTGCTTTTTAAGATGCTGTCTAGGTTTGCCATTGCCTTTCTCCCAAGGAGCAGGCGTCTTTTAATTTCATGACTGCTGTCACCATCTGCAGTGATCATCGAGCCCAAGAAGGTAAAGTCTCTTACTGCCTCCATTCTTCCCCTTCTATTTACCAGGAGGTGATGGGCCCAGTGGCCATGATCTTCGTTTTTTTGATGTTGAGCTTCAGACCATATTTTGCATTTATAGCACACCTTTTTCTCCAAGGTGTACATGGTTCCCCCCCTCAGTTAATCTCCACAACGACCCTGTGAGGTAGGTTAAGAGTCTGTGACTGACTCCAAGGTCACCCAGTGAGCTTCCTGATAGAATGGGCACCCAGCCATTGTCCTGTGGCGACCATAACCTAGGTTTAAGGTGCCATTTGGCAATCAGCTTATATATCTGAGTTTCTGGATCTAGGTCTAGATGCAGAACCCCAGTCCCTCCAAGTTCCAAGGCTGATGGGAGTCCAATGTGCCTCCCCTGTCCCTGATCTGCGTTAACCGGTTAGGTATGTGCCAAACCGACTGCCTGTAATCAATTTGAATCACCCACGAGGGGCTGCGAGAAAGGGCGGCTGTCATTTCAAGCTCCTTTCTCGCCGATCAAACACAGGTAGCCGTGTCAAAACGTTAAGGGGCATGGGGGAAAGCAGGAAAATGTTCACAAGGGCCGGCCAGGCAAGGTGTTTGAGAATAAAACAGTTCTTTGGTCACATCCACGACATGCACTCAAAGCACTCTTAGACCCCTTTAAGGGCCGTGGCACATTCCCCCGGAAGACTGCTGGGAACTGTAGTTAGGGGTGCTGGGAATTGTAGCTGAGAGTGTAATCCCCCCCCAAAAAAACCATTTAGCCTACAGTTCCCAGGATTTTTTGGTGGGGGTGGGAGCAGTTGGAAGCAGGAAGGGAAGGATCCTGCACTTGGGTTCCGCTTGCTGGGTTCCAACTGGGACATCTATCTGGCCACTGTGAGAACAGGATAAAGGGACTAGATGGACCACTGGCCTGATCCAGCGGGGCTCTTATGTTCTCAACCCAGGAGTTTCTGCACATAATGATGCATCTACTCTATGCATTGAGCAACGACCTCTCCCCTTCAATGTTAGACATGAGTAGGGATAGGCATGGAAATGCTTTTGAATCCTGGTGCTGGAGGAGACTCTTGAGAGTCCCATGGACTGCAAGAAGATCCATTCTGAAGGAAATCAGCCCTGAGTGCTCACTGGAAGGACAGATCCTGAAGCTGAGGCTCCAATACTTTGGCCACCTCATGAGATGAGAAGACTCCCTGGAAAAGACCCTGATGTTGGGAAAGATGGAGGGCACAAGGAGAAGGGGAGGACAGAGGACGAGATGGTTGGACAGTGTTCTCGAAGCTACCAGCATGAGTTTGACCAAACTGTGGGAGGCAGTGGAAGACAGGAGGGCCTGGCGTGCTCTGGTCCAGGGGGTCACGAAGAGTCGGACACGACTAAACAACAACAGCAACAACAGGCATGGAAAGGGGCAATTCCCGGGGCAATTCAGAAAGAAAACAGGTTGAAAATATCCCTTTATATTGCACCCTGTTCAGCGAAGAACATTAGTCACATCGGAAATATATCATGGAATCTGATGACAACCCTAACAAAAGACTTTGATTTATTGTTCCGGGGTAAAAAAACAACAACCCAAAGTAATAATAATAATAATAATAATAATAATAATAATAACCAAAACAACTTCCAGGGCTTACTCCTACGTTGTGGCATCAAATTCCCAGCCAGCATGGAGGCAGTCCTATGATACTTAACAACGCTGCCTCTAACACACTCCCGAGAGAAGCTTATTTATTGTCCTTCTAAGAAAACTGTGCAATTCTTCTCGATCCTGGCTCAAGACTTCAGAGCCTGGCTGGGTCGGCTGTATGAAGAGAGAAAGAAAGAGAAAGAGCGCGCAAAAGGAGAATTTGAAAAAAGGAGGAGGAGGAGGAGGAGAGGGGCTTTGCTTAACAGGATTAAGATGACTGTAAAAAAAATACCCTTTAATCTCCACCCTGGGGTTAATCTGGATTAAGGTTCCGCGCATTCCCCCCCCCAACTTGCCGATCCGGATGGAGTGCTGCTCTCTTCCCTGCTCGCTGCAACTGGCACTCGCCTGGCGTGTCAAAACCGCACCTCTCTGATCTCCCGCCAGCCACCACCATCTCCCCCCCCACAAAAAATAATAATGAAGATGAGAGCCCCACCTTGGCTGCCCTCAAGTTGATTCCTCCCTGTTGTTAAAAAAGGCCCGGCTCCTTGAACTGGTATTAAAATCGGGGATTTTCTGCTTCAGATGCGTAATCCCTCTTTAAACAGGTACAAATGGGTGGGATGGTGCTGTTTACACAGCGCTGGAGCTCTCAACCTCTCCTCCGTCTGTGTCCGGACGCAGGGAAGGATGCGGCTGCTGCTTCCAGGTGACTCGGAGAGAGAAAAGACCTGTAGCTTGGCAGGAGCACCTGCTTTGTATGCAGAAGGACCCAGGTTCAATCCTGGCATCTCCAGGTAGGGCTGGGAATGAAGTCATAAATCAGCTCCCAATTAAAACCAGCCCATTCGTCAGAAACAGGAGGACCAGAACTTGAACTTTATTCCATGGCGACGCATCTGCCTTGAATGCTGAAAGTTCCAGGTTCAGACCCTGGTGGCAGGGAAACCATGGAGAGCTGCCGCCAGTCAGTTTGTAGGTGACACCGATGGACCAGTTGGACTGACTCTGTATAAGGCAACCTTTTTCCTGCTGTCTGGAAGGGTCATAGATCATCAGTGGAGCAAACTGGATTTAGCAATGCGACGTCAGCAAACATTGGAAGTGAAGGGCTGCAGATCAGCGGATGCCAGGTAAGGCTGGGGGTGCCCCCTGGCCTGAAATCCTGGCGGGTTAGATTCTGGCTCATTATAAGCCTGGTTCCCATGTTCCCCTGGCTTCTCATAAGGATGGGGCAGCCCTTCCTCCAAATTTAACTGATGAGCATTTGGATATACAGTGGTACCTCTGGTTGCGAACAGGATCCGTTCCGGAGCCCCATTCGCAACTTGAAAGGAACGCAAGCCGCGTCTGCGCACGTGCGGGTAGCAATTCGCCACTTCTGCACATGCGTATGATGTTATTTTTGCGCTTCTGCACATGCGCAAGCGGCAAAACCCGGAAGTAACCCTTTCCGGTACTTCCGGGTCGCCGCGGGACGCAACCTGAAAACGCGCAACCTGAAGCAAATGTAACATGAGGTATGACTGTACAAACAGCCTGGCTGTTGGATCAGGCCAGGGCATCATCCTGCTCTCACAGTGGCCAACAGTGGGTGCCCCAATAGGAACCCCATAAGCAGGACCTGAGCTCAGAAGCAACTCTCCTCACTCGTGATTCACAGCAAACTGGTATTCAGATGCACATCACTGCCTCCGACGTGGGAGGGAAAACACAGCCACAGGGGCCAGCAACTATCGATTTGGCTTTATCCTCCAAAAAGTTGTCTAACTGGGTGCAAAAGCAGTAAGAGGAGCCCATCCTGTGCCATGACAATTCCCTGCAAAGTAAGGGTGTGTGTATGTGTTGGAGGGATGATTTTAAGGATAAAACCGATCTGCCTATTTCAAGGGGAGCCAAAATGGTGCCCTCCGAACTCCCATTAATCGCAGCTAGCATGGCCAGTGGTCAGGGTGATGGGAACTGGGAGTTCAACCGTATCTGGAGAACAGAATGTTGGGTAACCCTGGTTTATTTCCTTTCCATGTCCATTTCAGAATTGTTCATTCATAAGTCTGTTCTGTGCCAGGCCTGCACAAAACATATACTATCTTTATTTTTCAATTTTTAAAAATCCACAAAAAGATTAGCATTCGAATCCAGCTTTTGGGCTGGAGTCAACGTTAGTCATACTCAGGAGTAAATACATTGAAACTGATGGGTGTGACTAAGGTCCATTCATTTCAGTGGGTCGGCTCTTAAATATGACTAACCTCTAGATAAAACCCGAATCCTTTTTGTGTGCATTTCTAAACATAACTTAGAACACCACTTTCTTAAACACATTTCTCTCCGTATGAACCTACCCGGACCCTGGGATCACCTTTTGAGGCCCTTCTCTGTGTGCCTCCTCTGAGGGCCAGAGGGTGGAAACAAGAGAACGGGGCCTTCTCTGCAGTGGCTCCCCATTTGTGGATTGATTTCCCCAGGGAGGTTCGCCTGGCGCCTTCATTATACACCTTTAGGTGCCAGACAAAAAAGTTCCTCTTAAACCAGGCCTTTGGCTGATTGACATCCAAGGTCCTTTTTATTATATATCTTGTGTTTTATATCTTGTGATTTTATATTGTGAACTGACCTGAGATCTATGGGTACATAACCTCCAACATTTCTCTGCTGAAAATAGGGATACTCTATTCCCTAACAACAACAATAATATTTTTTTATTTATACTGCACCCATCTGACCGGGTTGCCACAGCCACTCTGGGCGGCTTGCAACATATATAAAAACATAATAAAACATTAAACATTCTCTATACAGGGCTGCCTTCAGATGTCTTCTAAAAGTTGTATAGTTACTTATCTCCTTGGCCTGGGGGGGTCGCATAACTACATACCCGCCAACATTTCTCAGACAAAAATAGGGACGTCCTAAGGAAAAGCGGGACATTCTGGGATCAAATCAGAAACTGGGACAGCTTCTGTAAATCCAGGACTGTCCCTGGAAAATAGGGACACTTGGAGGGTCTGCAGGTATGGGGTGGCATACAAATTTAATAAACAATAAATGGGGAATGAGGCAGCCCAGAACAGGGAATCATACAGAAACACAACTGGCAGGAGGGGTGCTCGGGCTCAGGAAAGCCACAATTTCTCTCCAGACCGCTCAGCATTGGGGCACGGGCTGCTTGCGAGTTATTGAAGCAGAAGGCAGGTTGACAGGTTGGGACTTTGCACAGATTCCCATCAACTCACTTTCAATCATTTCTATGGCATGCGCCTTAGCAGAGAGAAAGCCAGGCAACTCGAAAAGATCCAAGCGGCTGGTTTTTGCTCGGCATTCCGCGGCAGAGACGCCACTGCACAAAACAAAGGAACAAGATTGAATTTAAGATCGGTCACGAGCAGTTAGGTTACCGTAGCGGAACAGAGAGCGGAAACGCGGCGTGTTTGGGAAGGGTCAAGGGGGCACAAAACCCCTTCCACACAAACGGAGGGTAGCCGTGGACACCACAAAATCGCGCACCACAATAAAATGTGTTTATCTTTTTAAGACGGCGCCACACTCTCAGCGATTGCTTTTGCTACAGCCCAAAGCAATGATTTCCAAAGTGTGCGTTTGGGGCACATTAGCGCACTGCAAGCAACACACCAAAAAATTATTTAAAGGCTCCCATGAGCGCCAATGGACCCACCCCCAGAATAAGAGGCAGCTGCCTCTGTAGGATTTGCTTCCTTCCAACTAGACTCCACTTGGACTGTGAACGGGATGGCAAGCAGAAGGAAACGTCCTCAGGCGAGGCTGCCTGTTGCACCTCTGGAACAAGCCAGGCCAGGGCAGAGCCTCTTGCAGAGACACAAAAGGAGGGTAATTCTTCCCCATCTTTTTGCACTGGGTGGAATTAGGATCCAGTGGAGAATTACAAGCCCTGTAAGGAAGCTGAGCCTGTCGCTTCCAGAATGCTGTCTACGGCACTCCAAAGAGGGTGTTGACGAAGGGGCGCGTGTTCGGAAAAGGAAGACCGGTTGACGGAGAGGATCTGGAAAGCAAATCCTATGAGGAATAGTTGAGAACAGCTAGGATACTGCGGGAAAGGATCAGACAAGGGCAACCGAAATGAACCAGTGGATGGAACGACTCTTGACTGAGGAAAGGCTGATGCATTGAGGGATATTTTTTTTTTAAAGTTTAGAGAAAAGGGGAGCAATAGATTGTGGGTGTCGGGAGTTGTGTGTTATGAGAGAGTGGGAGAAAAAATATCCAATCCCGCTTGCAGAATTCTGGACTAGGTGGGCCTCTGGACTTCACCACCTGTCATGGTCCTGCCGTGACGCGGGTCAGGGTGGGTGGGAAGGCAGAAGAAAGAAGCATCTCTCCATTCAGGAATGCTACCCACGCAGCCGCTGACAGATCAGCACACGCCCAACCAGCCAGCTCTTCTTCACTCCCCACCCTGCTCTTGTGAAAGGCTCAGGAAGAGTCAGGCGCACCCAGAGAAGAATCACAGGAGATGTTAAATAGGATGGTGAAAGCAGAGCAGTGATGTGCCAACAGAAAGGAAGTGTGTGTGTGTGTGTGTGTGTGTGTGTGTGTGAACAGAGACAGGCAGGGTTGTAATTAAGATCCCTGAAACACTGTGGTGTGAATTTTATGGGGAGAAAATTAGCCACAGACATTTTTCTGGAGAATTTTCTCATCCACATTAGGCTAATTCCCATAAGGTCATTTCCACCAGAAGGTTTCGCATTGGGAAATTCATTGATGCCCTTGTGATCTAATTTTGCAGATTTATTTTATTTGTATTTAGCAAAGGAAAGCTGAAAACTTTTGAACCTGCCAGCCGCCGTGTAATAGGGCATTGGCAATCAGCATTTGTTACTAATGATGTTATGAAAAAGGGAAAAAATTCCGCAGAAAAAATTAGTACAGGAAATATATATATATATATATATATATATATATATATATATATGGCAGTGGAATGAAATCCCATTCAGGAAAGTTTTCTACCAGTCAGAGATTCCCATGGGATATACCCTTGACCACATTTTAATCCATGGTGTATGGATTGAGCCCAGAGCCCAAACATCACAGAAACCAATTAAACCTACACAGTTTTTCCAGAGGGTGAACCGTGTTATGAGGCAAACTCTGGCCCATGAAAACCGATGCCATAATAAATTTGCCTGGGTTTAAGGTGCCACAAGACTTCTTGTCAATGGTTTTTACACAACGTTTCAGTTCTTAAACTCGGGGTGTGTGCGTTAAGCCTCATAGCGAATGGGCCAGGAGGAAATTTATCAAAAGACCACTCTCCTTGGCGACTTCCAGCCGCCATTGCTCCACACAACTGATGTCTTACAACAATGTCATGCTTGTAGACCAAAGGTCACAAGTCGAGCTCCAAGCGATCCCATGCTAATAATCTGCATACCCTCTAACACTTTGAAGCCAAAATCTGGGACGCCATCTTCCGGACCCCATCTTCATTTTATTTTATTTTTATTGCGGGGACACGGCAGCCATTTTGGTTGCTGTGATCTTGCGCGATTTCACATCACAGTTCCCCCCCCAAAAAAGAGCACTTTTTGTGTGCCCCCCCATCATGTTTGAGGGGAATCATGCTCTGAAATTGCGCGAGAGCACAGCAACCAAAATGGCCGCTGTGCTCTTGTGATAAAAAATGGGATGGGGTAAGGGGGAGCAGAAACCTCTAGATTCTGGAAGTTGGCTGTCAGTTGGAGGAGGGCAGGGATGGGGGGACCTGGTCATCTTCCAGGTGTTGCAGGACTCCAATTCCCATCATCCCTGAACATTGGACATTGCAGGGGCTGATGGGAGTTGGAGTCCAACAACATGTGGGTGGCCACAGGTCTCCCCCCCTTACTAAAGGCCCTTCTCTGGCTTTAAGCCTGATTAAATAAGCACAAATTAGACTCAAAGCACCCACAACCAGCCAGGCAAGGCACAACACAAGCCCAGAGGTAGACCTCAGAACTGACACATGGGCCTCAGAAACTAAGGCAGGCCGCACACAGTTCCTCTTGACTCTTAGGCTTTTAGCGGAGGGCAGCTGGTGCCTTTTGACCATTAAAAAAACAACAATTTTACTACTAATAATGCTCTGCTGATCTGTTACAGATCCATTGCACTTTTAAAAAATATATTCTAGTAGGCTTATATTTTAAGTAGCATTTTGCATTACAAGACAAACACACACATACGTTTTCGCTGCCAGGTTTTATTTCATTAAGCCAGAGTATAAAAATACCGTAGTATCTAGATATTAGGAGCTGTGCCCCTGCTTGCTCCATTCCCCGGCTATGCCTCCCAAATATTAACCCACTACAAAAGTGTTTCCCAAACTTGGGTCTCCAGCTGTTTGGGGACTACAATTCCCATCATCCCTGACCACTGGTCCTGCTAGCTAGGGGAGGGGCAACAGCTTGGCTTCATCCCCTGCTTGGTTCCCTGGCTTCATCCTCAGCAAAAACAAGTGTGAGGCAACCAGTGCCCCCCAGATGTTGCTGGACTACAACTCCCAGCCGCCTCTGCATGGTCAACAGCTAGGGATGGTGGGAGTTGTAGTGTAGCAGCATCCAGAGGACCAAAGGTCCCTCACCACCCAAGTTGAAAGGATCAGGCAGAAGGGGCAGGGGAGATCCTTCGCTGCTTGGGATCCTGCAGAGCAGCATTCAGTCAGAGCTCACCAAACCAGGCTGGAGGAGTCAAAATCACTCAGCCCAGGACAGCTTCCTATTTCCCCCGTTTCATTACGGCACCCTCCCGCACATCAGCCCCCTGCCAATAATTCATGCACTGATGCTTGATATCGCTGATTCCACATGGAGCATTGACACGGTGAAAGCTTTTTAACAGCGCTGGAGAGAAGGCAATCATGTTTGAAAGTGGCCCTAAGAGCGATCTGGGCGGGTGGAAGGGGGAGAGCAAGGAGCAAACCTCTCCTGGGTGTGGAACATCTTAGAAGGCGCAGCAGAAACAGATTTTCCGAAAGCTCCTTCATGGCAACACCTCCCTCCCCCCCAAAAAAGAACCCCCATCCTGGCCTGCAGTAGCCTGACACATCATGTGAGGGTGAAAACGTTTTCTACCTCTGCCCCTAATCAGCTCATCTGTTGAATCATCCCAAAATCGGGAGACCCCATTCACAAGAAGCACGATGGGTTGGCTGGTTTTTTAAAAAAGAAGCTTTTGCCTTATGCAGTGGTACCTTGGGTTACAGGCGCTTCAGGTTACAGACTCCGCTAGAAATAGTACCTCGGGTTAAGAACTTTGCTTCAGGATGAGAACAGAAATCGTGCTCCGGCGGCACGGAGGCAGCGGGAGGCCCCCTTAGCTAAAGTGGTGCTTCAGGTTAAGAACAGTTTCAGGTTAAGAACGGACCTCCGGAACGAATTAAGTACTTAACCCGAGGTACCACTGTACCAGGGATGGGCTGAACCCAGAATGCAAGTGGAGATTTACCGGATGGAAATTATCCTCCATCAGAAACCATTCCCTTCACAGAGAAAGCTAGCTTCTCGGGGAGAAGCAAGGCTACATACAACCTGTCTCCCTAGTTTTCTACCTGCAGGGAATGTTTGTTTGTTGCCACTGGCACAGAGCAGCATCCAGTCACGTGGACGCTCACCGGAGGTCTGGAAGCAGTGCAGACAAGGCACATACTCATCACCTCAAATGAGAACTAGACCTTAAAAAGAAAAGAAAAGAAACGGAAAGTGTGTCCCTAGCAACAGGGAAAAGGATCATCTACACAAAATAAATAACCACAATCCCATGGGACCAGCAGTCTGATTAAGACTGGCTTTTTCTGGCATTCTGTGTGTTACATCGCTGGATGCGCCGGTACATAAAAGAAGATGCTCTTAGGAGCAAATGTGCTTTAGCATGTAGCGAAGAGAGCTGTGCTGGATTGGGCCACTGGCCTGCCAAGCCAAACATCCCATTTCCCAGGATCCTGAGCAGCGATGCTGTCAAGGAAGGACTTGGGGCAGAAGCCACACACACACCCTCAATGCAGCAGGGATGCTGGCTTAGTTCCTGGAGGACAGGGTTATCCATGGCTATGTTCCTACATCGACTGCCAGAGACAGTGCCCTGCTGAATGCCAAATGCTAGGAATCGCAGGTGGGGAGAGTTGATGCTGCTGAGCTCAGGTTCAGCTGGGGGCTTCCTACTGGTGCATCTGGCTGGGTGTCGCAAGAACAGGAGTCCAGACTGGATTAATGGCTACGAGATATGAAGGCTGTGTCTGCTTTGGCTGGGGCGATACATCAATATATCACCCAGGACCGGTATGAGGAGCAGACCGTGATGTCGGCTTCACTCAGCGGTATATCGTTGGTGAAACGGCCACCGTTCCCGAGTCCCTCTGCTAGCGACTTCCTCCAGCGGAGCGTCGCTAGCAGAAGGACTCAGGAGTGGTGGCGGTTTTACCAGCGATATACAGCTGAGTGAAGCTGACATCCCACTCTGACCTCATAACTGTGCACAGGGAGAAAAAAGCTACATTGGCGAGGCACCAATACAGCTTGTTCCTCCTTCTGGATCTTTTAACTGCTCAGCTGAGGCGAGTGTGGTTGCCGCTCCCCTCCAAGCAATCAAGGGATCCCCCAGCCCGGCACTGGCACCCGCCACAAGTGGGGGGTGGCACTGGGGATGGTGAGAGCTGTGGCAATTTCACCTTGCAGGCTGAGGCCAATGCAGCTTGTGTTTTCAACACCGCGGTATATCGCCAGATGTTTGGCTGGTGATATACAGTCATACCTCATGTTACGTTCTTTCAGGTTATGTCCCGCACCAACCCGGAAGTACCTGAAAGGGTTACTTCCGGGTTTCGCCGCTCGCGCATGTGCAGAAGCGCAAAATGACGCCACGTGCATGCGCAGAAGCCAATCGCAACCTGCACGTGCACAGACATGCCGCTGCAGGTTGCGCTCTTTTCATGTTGTGAATGGGCCTCCGGAACGGATCCCGTTCGCAACCAGAGGTACCACTGTACTGCGATGCTGAAAAACTGGTATTGCCCAACACTAGTCTGCTGTTGGAGAGAGCACTGTGGTGCTCAAAGTCCTGCTTGTAGGTTTCCCATAAGCATCTTGTTGGCAGTGTTAGAAATTCAGATATATAAACTAATCGCCAAATGGCACCTTAAACCTAGGTCATAGCTGCCACAACAAAATGTCTAGAAGCTGGGTTTTTTGTGGTGTTTTTTTGTTTTGTTTTTTTTTTGCAATTGGACTTAGTATTATTCTTATTCATTTCATTTCTATGCAGCTTTACATTTTAGAGAGCAACTCTCAAAGTGGTTTACGACACATTAAAACATCAAATAAAACAATCCAGAAGAAAACAAATTCAGGCTTCAAGGAAAACATTCCAGAGCCTTCTTTTCTAAATGACATTTGGTTTTCCCTAGTCGCCCGCCTGGCATCCAGAGATCTCCATGTGGTTGCAATTGGACCCAAGCCAGCGGCAAAATGCGCCTGGCCCCTGGCTAATTTCTAACACTGCAGCAATCGTCTGCTATGGAAAAAGGTTGTTGGGCATGATAGGCCCTGATCTAAGCCAAAAGGCCGAGAAGCGATCAGGGCGAAGATCTCAGGGTAGTTCACAACGTAAGAATACAGGATAAGAACTACAAAATATATAGTCAAAACAAAAGCATAACCACCCCCCCATCCCACAAACACATTTAAAAGGCCATAGAATCAACCAAAGGCCTGGCAAATAAGAACATTTTGCCTGGCACCTGAAGGTATATAATGGAGGCACCAAACATTCCACAAATGGGGAGAACATTCCACAAACAGGGAGCCCCCAGAGGAAAGGCCTGTTCTCGTGTTGCCACCCTCCGGACCTCTCGTGGAGGAGGCACATGAAGAAGGGCCTCAAAGGATGATCTCTGGGTCTGGGTTCCTTTATATGAGGAGAGGTGTTCCTTGTGGTTTTTTTACAGAATCATAGAATTGTAGCGTTGGAAGGGACCACAGGGGTCATCTGGCCCAAACCCCAGCAATGCAGGAATCTTCTGCCCAAGATTAAAAGTCTCATGCTCTACCGACTGAGCTATCCCAAGGATGAGGAACCACGTTGTTGGACTCCAGTTCCCATTGTCCCTGGCTACTGGCCATCTTCCTTGAGCACTGGCCAGGCTAGCTGGGCCACAGCTTGCCCAACCTTGCTACAGGGTGTTGAGCGCCATGATCGTATACACAGGCTCTGTGGGTTTGAGATATGCATCACATCTGAATCTTGCCTTTCCTCCGGGGAGCTCCTCCTCACGGTGTGCACATGGGTTAGGAGCCCAGCCTCACCAGCACGTCCACACAAGTTCCTAGTCGACATCTCCTTTCCTAGCTGGTCTGCCTGCCCAACTTTATGTATAAATATCTGCGGGTCTGAAAGGAAGACAACCGGCTTTTGGGTAGCTTCTCTGCATCATCGCCTGGAAGGGATTCCAAGTTGCCACCGGGAAAATGGCCTTGTATGAGCCTGTAGCTCAGAGAAGGGGAACATTTGGTCCTCCATATGTTGCTGAACTGCAACTCCCATCACCACTGGGCAAGGGCAATGTTTGGTAGGGGCTGATGGGAGTTAAAGTCCAGCAACATACAGAGGGCCAAAGAGTCCCTACCCTGCTGTAGTCAGTCCACTACAAGCCCATGAGATAGGCAAGGCTACCTGGAGACGCCACAGATTGAACTTCTTCCCAGGGACCTGTGGGAATTGTAGCTCTATGTGGGAGTGCCTCCTAACAACTCTCAGAGCCCTTAAACTACAGTTCCCACGATTATCTGGGGGACACAGTGGTATCAGAGTGCTTTAAACGGATGGTGAGGATGGGGTCTGAAATGCTCAGCACACATTCGCAAGCCATGTGAACCCACATGCGAGAATACAGCTTGCAACAAGCTTTCCGCGGTTTGTGTGTTAATTTCCTGCATAGAAATTCCTTCACAGGAGGAAGCTGTGAATGTGACCTACCAATATCCCTCCCCGCCAAAAAATCCCTCTGCGCCAAAGATGGGGAATCAGTGGCTCTCCAACTCCCATCAGTTATGGATGATGGGAGTTGTAGTCTGAACACTTCCAGTGGGGCGCAGATTCCCCACGCTTGGCTCAACAGGGCTGCGAAACACAGATTTGATAGCCCCATAAAGAATATTGGGAGTATTTCCACACACACGCACACAATCTTACTCAGATGTCTACCCACTAAAATGTGGCAAAATTTAAGCTGGTATTCTTCTCCCTCCTGTTAAGATAATGCCAGTGTTCCACATACCCCCATACTATTGATGTTTCTAACACTGTTCCCTGCTTGCAGAGCATGAGGACTAGAAACCTTCCATGAATAACATGCCAGCCTGCCTTTTTAAAAGAAAATGGTAAGAAGTTTAAAGGTTTCCTAATTCAAGCTATTCCCCAACCGACTCCAGTTGGCTCTCTGTTTTTAAAGGGGCAGGGAGCGTTTGAACCTAGTCTGAAGACTGAGAAATAAGACTGAGAGATGTGTGGAGCTTTTGTATGCAGGACCCTCTAAAGAAGACCACCTCCCAACCTTTCCTCCGCCCATCCTGGACCAATCAGCAGCTCTGCAGCTCATCAGCACACCAGTCACATCTGCCCTTGTCCGGAAAAACACACAGATACACACCAGTGTGACACAGGGACCTGCTTAAAAAGCAAGAGGGGTGTGGACCCCAGAGATTTTTGGGGAGCGGAGGACACCTTTTCTGCAGGGAGTCTGAGGACAACAATAACAACCGCCACCATAATCTCGGAGCAGGCATGAGAGACTTAAAAATAAAAGGGATGGGAGACCAAACTCAGGCAGGTGGCATCAGTTTCATGTCTAATACAATATTTGGAGGAGAGGATCGGGTTGTGTTGATGTCCGATCTGGGAAAATCCCAGGCTGCAGTTCACCCAAGTGCCTAGAAAAATGTAAGAACCATGGCTCTTTTGGAACTCTGCAGCCAATTTTTATTTATTTATTTTAAAAAACCTATCAAACTCCCAGAAATGCAAAGCGTTTCTTCGACCTAAGGGTAATCCACTAAGGCCATGCCGGTTACTGAAAGGTGATGGGACGGGTGATGGAGCGAAAACCTAGCGTTGAAGCCATCTTGGAGCCTCCAAAACCAATGGCAAACCTCCATCTCATTGTGGGTTTACAGGAAATGTGGTCCTGAGGAGAGTGGCACACATAAGTCAAAGCAGGCAGAAATAGACCAGTGGGGCACGTTCGTTCTCTCTCTCTCTCTCTCTCTCTCTCTCTCTCTTTGTGTAAGACGCCGCATTGATGAAACGGGTTTGGGGGCGGGGGACAGGGCAGACGTCAAAAAACTCATTCCCTCCCCGATCCTGGATAATAAGAGCAACCTGATTCAGCAGCAGTTGGAATGAGAGGAAAACTGGATATTCATAAACACAAACAAGCTTTGTACGGAGGAGAAGGAATGCTCCCTAATGTCTCTCCAGGGGAATAGGGGAAAGCAAGCAGCTTCCCAGAGGTGGAAGAAATGGGGCATCGTCTCGTCTCCATCCCAAGAAGGGCTACTGCGCTTGTTCTCAAAGCCCAGCACCCTAAGGCCGCAGGAACAGCCTTCAACGCTGTCAGGTCAAAATGTCTCCAGAGCAACCTCATCCCCATGACAGGTGTCTCACAGGGGTTTGTTTATGGCTTCTCTAAACACCCGGTGACCGGGGCCCCACAAGGACCAATTCCGCCGATAATTTATCCCCAAAATCCCAGCGCGCAAGGCTATGTACGGCGCGTGCGGCTGCAGTGAAACCAACACTGCCGCACTGCTCCGCCATAAATATCCCCGACGCGCCGGCAACTCGGCTCTGCGGCAGGGACCCCCCGCCCCCCCAACAACACGCCTCGGCTCACCACAAAAGGCGGGGGCCCAACACCCACGGCGCGGTTGGCGGGGACGTAAAGACCGAAGGGAAAGGAGCCAAACCGAAGCCTTTCCCCGACACCCCAGCAAAGGCAACCATCAAATGGCTAGGCCCCAAAAAAAGAGTCCGTGGCGCCCAGAGAGGAAAGGGGTGCCGAGGCCTCGCGGGAAATAAGCCAAGCCAGGTGAGCTAGGCCCGTTGTGACCACTGCCATCACTGCCGCCAAGGCAGCCCCAGTGCATTGTGGGTCAGGCTCTGCAGAGCAGATCTACCTGAGCCCTTGATACGGCTCCTTAGCAACCATCCTCTCTCTTCAACTGCCACCCCCACCCCTGCGCCGCACACACACACGCACACATTCACACACAACCACTAAAAGTCAGGTCAGGTTAGAAAGCTTTTTAGCCGGAGGAAGGGGGCTGGGTGTGTGGGGAGGTCCCCCCCCAGCAAAGGGCCCCGCGTCCGCTGCTCCGCCATTGTGTGGCGCCCGCCAGCGCCCAATTCAGAGGCGCAATTTATGGGGCCTGGGCTTCCGCCTCAGAAGACATTCTCAAAGGAGACAGTCCTCCCTCGAGGCACACAGAAAGGAGGCGCGGGAGAGGGAACGAACGGAGGGCGTGAGACCCAGACGCACCAAGGACGGACGGACGGACAGACACTGGGGAGCAGGAGGGAGAGAAATTTGCAGACAGCCGGGCACACGTGGACTCCAGGCTCGACCCGTCCTTCCCAGCGTCGGTTAACGGACAAGTCCCAGAGAAAATGGAAGCCACAGACGCAAAGCGGCATGGATATGCCACCGGGGAGTAGGAAACAGGCGCTGGCCTGAGTGGGCCTCCAGAGGGTCACCCTGTTCCCAAGCCAAGCCAGAACCCATTTTTAGGGGCCTGTGCCTGGCGCCGCCCACTTACGCTGCTGCCCTGGTCTCCCCACGGCGGCCGTGTCCCTTCCTTCGCTTCACCCCATGGGCAGAGCATTAGAGATGCAACACACAGGCGCTGTTAACTCCCCCATTGATCTGGCTCCCTGTGGCTCTGTTCGGCGGCCATTACAATTTCCAGATTATTACTTAAAGCCCCCATTGATTTATTATTTTTTTTAAAAAAGCGAAGGGTGGAATCACGCAGAGAAACGGCGACTCGGCAAGGTGTCCCACCTTGCAAAACAACACTTTTCTGTTCAAGTCTCTAGATCTGGGCCACTCGTGGCACCAGCAGCTGCCGGTCAAGCTAAATGCACTTGGGAATCAACGCCGCTGCTGTTGGAGGTTCGATCCCGGAGTTACGCACGTAAATAAAAGGGGGTAGGCGTCCCTACACAAGCCGAGAACCACGTCTTCCTCAGCCAAGGATTGCTGCCACACAGCAGGCCCTGCCTGGGCCCTGTAAAGAAATCAGGTGGCTTTGTTGATTAATCAGCCTCCCGCCACATGAGAGAGAGAGGGGGGAAAAACATTGCTGGCCACCAGGACTCCACCAGGAATTCGAGTGGACCACACATGAATGAATAAAGAGGGATAGGCCAAATTATATACCGCCCCCCCCCATTACACTTCAGCATCACTTCAAAATACAAGTGGCAGGCCCGTGGAAGCAGCTCTAACTGACTCATATTAAGCAAACTGGGGGGGGGGGGGAGGTGTGTACAATTCCCCCTCTCACTTGCTATCTATCGCCAGCGTGTAAACACGGAGCCCAGCAGTCAATAGAGCCGGCTAAATGACGCTCCTTCTGAAACAAAAGAGAATCAAGAGATGGTGTGTGCGATAAATATCTTTCAGATCCCTCCCACTTGGGAAAACAAAAAAATATGGAGCAGGAATGCCCTTAATGCCTCCAGCTTTCAAACCTTGCAGCTCCCCACTGTCAGCCCCCCCTGGTTAACCTCCCCACACACACACACACTACACACCTTCTCTCTGTGTGTGTTCCCAAACACTCACATCCAGGCAGCCCGTTTCCTTTGTGGTGTCCTGGCAAATTTACAAAGGAAGGGTCAGGCAGGTGAGCCCCTTTGGAAAGGGTGAAAAGGTGATGCTGAAAGGCCTCAGCTGAGCAGGAGGAGCCTCTGTCCTTGCATGCAGGTGGTCCTAAGTTGGATCCCTGGCATCTCCCTGCCTGAAAGAGCTGCTGCCGGCCAGTGTAGACCGCACTGAGTTAGAAGCACCAAGTCTCTCTCTAGACTCCAGAGAAGGCTATGCTAGGATGAACACCGGCCTTGCCTGTCTCGGATGGTTTTAAAAGAGGCATTTTAAAAAAATACGGGGGGGGTTTGAGAAATGATTAGGCATCAATCAGGCAGCTTCCGTCCTTGCAAACACACACACACTCCAAATCCCTGCATGAATGTTCAAGAGAGACAGATTCTCCCTTGGCACTTTGCCTTTCTCTTTGCAATAAACACCCCACAGCCTTCCCTCTCTCTCGCTAAGCAGCAGCCAGTTAGGAGGAGGAGGAAGAAGAAGGGGAAAAAACCTCGCCCAGTTCCCAGAGGAGCCCCGGCACTGCCTGGGCACGTGCCACGGGGTGCTCCGGGGATGCAAGGCGGGCAGGGCGCTCGACGTCCCCCCGCATCTGCCGTGCCTACAGATCGGTAGGCGTGTGTCTTCTCTGCCAGTCTCGCGGCTCAGCCCCACAAACAGCCGGGAACCCGTGCCAGGGCTGGCGAGGGTTTGGCACATGGAGTCACACCTAGGCTCGGATATATAGGTCACGCCACACACACACACACGATCAAGGTTGGGCATCCTGTCTGTGGCGAGAGTCCTGGGGGTAGCAGCAGGCATGGGGAGATCTCGATCGGGAGGGTTATATTAAAAAAAAGGGCAGAGCGTGCCCCCCCCAAATAGTGTGTGCCACCCAAGTTTTGGGTGCTGGTAGTGCCCACGGGGGTGCAAAGGTCACGTTGTCTCTCTCTCACACACAGAGGACTCTGTTGCCCTTCAACCGCGGTCTGATCGAGCCCACCCCCCCGAAACCCCTGAACTAAGGAGAAATTGTCCTTTTAAAAAAAACCGACGGTCAAGGAAATAAACAAATAAACTCGCTCGGAAAGCGCAGACGGCCCCGCTCCCCCTCTCTAAACACACCTCACTATGGAGGCCACGGTGCCTGGATTTAGGGGAATTTGGCGGCGGCGGGGGGGGTTAAGAAGCGGAGCAGAGCTGAAATTGCAAAAACTAGAGGGGAGAAACAGACGGTGGGGGGACGGAGACGGGCAAGGAGAGACGGGGGTGCCGGTGAGTTGCGGGGTGGAGACAGAGAGAGAGAAGAGAGACTGGGGTCCCAGTCCAGACAGCCGCCAGACTGGGGGAGGGGGCGATTAGGAAGGAAAGGGGTGGAGAGAAGGGGGGGGCAGAGGAAGCTTCATATTCTGCAGGATCTCTCCCGACGCACAGACAAAAAGCAGACAACCCCGCTCCCTCCCCCCCCCCATGAAATCTCTGCTCCCCCATCCCCAGGTTCCGGCGACGCGCGGACCCCGATCCCCACCGCGCACGTGCCCTCGCCCCGTCCACGTGCACGCGCACCCCCTCCTCCCAGACACCCCCCCCTTATGCAGTGCACGCGCGCCCTCTCCCACCTCACCCGCCGACCCCTCTTTGCCTAACACCCACCTTCGCCTCCCGCGCCGGGGCAAATTCCGGGGGTCCAGGGATATACAGGCGCAAACGGACTAACGGAGCCCGATCTCTTCTCCTGGAGCAACCCCCCTTAAAAAAAAAAAAAACCACCGTCGTCCCCCCATCCCTTCTCCCGCGACCCCACTCCCACCCACCACCCCCAAACCACCGGGTCCGGTACTCACTGCGGGTTGGAGCTGTTCCAATGCACCGCGTGCCGGTTGCCGAGGCTGCCGGCGGGGCCGTGGCACAGCAAGCAGAGCAGCGGGAGGAGCAGCAGGAGCGGCGGGGCAGGCGGCGGCGGCAGCAGCAGGAGCGCGGCCATCCCGCCGGCCGGGGCAGCGCAGCGCCAGGCGCGACCGTGCACGAGAGGCGAAGCCGCCGGAACGGAGAGCGAGGGCGAGAAAGAGATCCAAAGGCGATCGGAGCCGCCGCCGTCCTCCTCCTCCTCCTCCTCCTCTTCGCCGCCGGAGCCCCCAGCGCCGCCGAGGCTCCTCCTTCCCTCCTCCTTGCGCGCCTCCGGCCCCGGGACCGCCCCCCTCGCGCGCTCCCTGCACGCCGCGCGCGCCCGATCTTTCCCACGGGCTCCCCACGCTGCGCGCCCGACGCGTCTCTCCATCTACTGGGGGTCCCTTTCCTGGCGCGTCCTTTGCTTTCGATTACAGGCGATGGAGGCGTGTCCGTGTCCGGCCACTACGCCCCGCCCCCTTTTTAAAAAGCCCCCCCCTCGCAGAACATCTGGCGAACCCCCTCCCTTTCAAACACACACCTTTCCTTCCTCCTTCTCCCCCATATAAAATATTACATTTGTGCCAAGGCTGTTTTGAATGCTTTGCGGAGTCAAAAATCACAGGGACAGGCCCCTGGGCATGGGAAGAGTGCCTTTGCCTCAGCATTCCCCCGGGGCTTTGTCCTTGGGACTCACTTGTGGATGAGAGAGGGGCTGATGTTAAAAGCATCAATAATATTTTTAATTCTGTGGAAATAGGAGAAGTTGGCCACCGAAGGGAAAGGGCCTCTGAGTGCACCTTATCTGCAAAGGTTTAAAAGGTGCCTTTGAATGCCACAACTTTGCAGCGCTCAGGACGTGGGGAAATCCAGCGGGGACGCAGCCTCTGAGCATGGGCAGAGGGCCTTGCCATCAGCAGCCACCGGACATCTGGGAAGTGGAAGGAAAGTCAGGTTTATAGGGCAACAATTTCCAGGCTGGAGCGAGAAGGCCCCCCTCGGCCCCTGGCAAACTCTACAGTTTAGGAAATAATTGTTGCCAGGTGGCGAACATCTGGAAGAAAGCTAGAGGTTGTCTTTTATCTCCACACTCTCCATCCATCCCCCAAACAGAACTAGGAGCAGGCTTCATCCTGAGAGGTGGGGGGACGACCCACCATACTCAGCCGCAGGACTACATAGTTTCTATGCCGGGGGGAAAGGGACAATGAGAAAAGTGCCTCTGAGGTGGTGCAGAGTGCCGTTTCCCTTCCTTCCTCACGGAATGGCAGCCAGCCTCCCTGCGTTCTGAGATCAGGAACCACAGCTTCCAGGGGAAAGGGTGTGGTTTGCTTGGCACCTATCCTGTTAAGCAACCAGCAAAGAATGTCCTGGAATGGACTCCGGAGTGTGGAGTTGGCCGGGTCCTCAATGGCAGAGAATCTGCAGGTTTGAAACTCTCCACTACCATCACCTCCTCCCTGGCTACTGTGGTCTCATGCGGCAAACTGGGGAGGCCTCCCTGTGATCCCCAAAAAAGCTGATCCAGAAAACCTGGGAGGCAGACAACACCTTCCCGCCCACTGGGGAGAAAATCAACGCCAGCCGGCAGGGCCCAGCCCTTGCCTGAACATGTCTGGGGCTGTGGCCATGGCTGCGGCTCAGGCGCGTCAGGAATGTCGCCCCAGGTCCTGGGCCAAGGTGCAAATGCTGGCCTGGGACTGAGAAAGGAACACTGTGCCAGGGTGACTCCACCCTTCCCTTCTGCTTGGCAAAGCAACAAAGCGCAGGGCACTTCCCTGAAGCAGGGGAAATCTGTGGCCCTCTGGATGTCACAGGACTACAATGCCCATCGTCCCTGACCAGTGGCTATGCTGCCTGGGGGTTGATGGTGTCAGGAGTGCGTGCGGGAGCCAGGCCCTGTGACCAGTAGGGATTCGCAGGACTGGGGCCTTCCTAAGTTTGTTCTGGAGAGGCAAGGCGCGGCCGCACAGGTGAGGCTGATTGGTAACTCACTGCACCTGGTGGCAAGAGCTGGGAAGGGATATAAGCTCAGCATGTCCCTTCGGCTCTTTGCCACAGCAACACATTTCCTGTCTTGCTGCGTTTGGCTTCTTGCTTCCTGATCCTCGGACCTTGGCTTCCTGACTTCCTGCTTCTTGACCCTTGGACCCCTGGCTTCTGGACTCTCATTCCTCCTCCCACCCCGCCATCTTGCCCCCGGTCCCAACGTCCTCAGCTGGGACTTCGATCGCCCGTAGACCAGACCGTGACAGATGGGAGCTGCAGTCTAATGATATCTAGAGTAGCTTCTAGGCAGGAGAACAGGGAAGGGGACCCCGTTGCCCTCTAGATGCTGTTAAGACAACAGCCATCAGCCTTGACCACTGGTTGTGCTGGTTGGGGGTTGATGAAAGCTGGAGTCCAAGAACGTTGCCGGACTACAACTGCCATCATCCATGACCAGTGGCCATGCTGTCCAGGGGCTGATGGGAACTGTAACCCAACAATATCTGGAGGGCCACCAGAGTAGCTTCCAGGCAGGAAGCCCAGGATGAGGGCCCCATTCCCCTCTGAATGCTGTGAAGTCTATGGCTCCTATCTTCCCTGACCATTGGCCATGCTGGCTGCTGGGAGATGGAATCCAGCAACATGTTCCCTTCTGGGCAGCCTTCCAGGGGCCACATGTCTGTGGTGGGAGGAGCCAGGGGCAAAAGTGGGCGGCGTAACAAAGGCCAATGCTACCATCATTCAGCAGGCTGGTTTCTACGCATATTATCAACCCCCCACTTCTCTAACCACCATCCTTAGAAGCAAGAGGCATGCTCAGAAACCAGCTGGGCAAAAACACAGGGGGCAGCTTGTGGGCTAGGATGGCCAAGCCAGGAGTATCCCAGACCCTGAGATTTCAGCGCCCAAACCTGAGACCTAGGGGTGGCCCCTGGTGTGGGGGGTTCTGATTATTCTTCCTCTGTGCTTCCTCCCTCCACTGAGTCCTGGAGACGGAGGTTAATTGGGAGAGGGGAAGAAGGAGCGGAGCAGAGCAGGACACCCCACCCCAAGAGCCTATGCAACAATTTGCAACCCGTCCTGCCCAGCATAAGCTTCCCAGCTCCACGCATAGTCTTCTTGATAAGAAATAATCATTAAAGGCACTCTTGCCCGCCTGGAAATTCAAGCCCTCTCCCTGCCACCTGGAGGGGGAGTGAGGCTAACCTGGAGACTTCAGGTCAGCCCAGGAGTGTGTTGACAGTTCACCATTGTGGACAGTTTCAAGGGCCAAACGGAGATGCCTGGAGGGTCCCTACCCCAGGGTCCAAAAGGTGCCTTCCCTTCCTGGCTTAAACGAGCTTCTATTCTCCCTCTCTTCCAGGTTGGTGCCCTGCCCGAGAACCGCCAAGGCCATGTCTGCTGAGATGAGTAGCAACCTTTGGAATGAATTTCCTCTCTATTCGCGGAATTATCACTGCCTGACACGCCCCTTTAGAAAAATCATCTCATTATCACACTCCTTAGAAAGGGTTGTATGAATGGGAGGAGGGAGTTTTTCTTTTTTACAGTGCAAGGACTCAAGGGTGCTCCCACCCTTGTATTTGAGGATCCGGTCACTCAGCAGGAAAGAGGGCAGAGGGCAGGTTCTTGATGTAAAATCTTAGTCCTCCTTGTTCAAAATAGAGAGTTGGTTTAAAGAGGAACACAGGAAGCTGCCTGATACAGAGTTAGAGCCATTGGTCTGTCTAGCTCAGTACTGGCAACACTGACCGGCAGCAGCTCTCTCGGGTTTGAATTCTCAGCCTGGAAAACGCTGGGATCTGGGACGTTCTGCACACACAGCAGGTGCTCCACCACTGAGCTGTGGCCCTTCCTCTAAATCAGTGTTTCTCAAACTTGGGTCCCCAGCTGTTGTTGTTGGACTACAACTCCCATCCTTCCTGACCCCTGGTGCCGCTAGCTAGAGATGATGGGAGTTGTAGTCCAACAACACCTGGGGATCCTAGTTTGAGAAACACTGCTCTAAATGTATGTGATCTCTGACTGGTTGGGACAAGTGTCAAGAAGATGCTACTGAACTACAACTCCCGACAGCATGATGATGGGAGCTGTATTTCCGCAACATCTGGGATGGCCAAAGGTTTCCCCACCTGCCTGATGCAGTGCTTTACTTCTCCCTCTCTGGATGAGTGACAACCGTGGGATCAGTTGAGGCAGACATTTAGAGGCTCAGAAAGCAGAGAGGTGGAATCTGCAAGAGCTGACTTTGTACTTATCTGCCTCCATAGCCCCTGCCACTTATTAGAACATAAAAATCTATTCTTGGTTCTGTGAGTGTGTGTGTGTGTGTTTTTAATCACATCAGAATATAACTTGGGCGGGGGTGTAGTTTGTGATGTAATTTTTGACCTGGCAATATTTTGTGAATCATGGGATGTGCGTGCACTATGCAAAAATCACAATGTGGGGAAAACCGTGAAGCCAGCCAACATTTCTACACAGCTCCATCCTTATTTCAGACATCGGGACATATCTGTATATTGTGATGTTTAGCTGGTGAAACATCATGATGTTGAAAACCAGGTATTGCCCGGCCCTAGAATCCAGCTGTGCCCTCATGCCTAAAAAAGCTGGGAACCCCCAGCCCTGGACCTTGTTCACTATGGAAAAAAAATCAACCCTCAGAACAGAAATCGTTGCAGATTCATTTCCCCTTGCTCTGTTGTCTCCCGTTGTGAGGTTTTCTAGACTGTAAGTGCCTCAGGACAGAGAACTGTCTCTCACTTCTTTACTTATTTATTTGGTATAGCGCCATGTATATAGATGGTGCAACAAAAGCCACAATAACAATCTGTATTTTTGGAACACTGTTCGTTCTGCATTTATGATATCTTACAATATCGCCGCCTGATTTTGCGTGATGGTTCCTGAGATCAAGCAGCAGGTTTTTGTCTTTCTTTGGATACAACTGGGCACCATTTTGAATTAAGATGGTGGACTGAGCCTTGCACGGATTTTAAGCACTGATTTCAAAATTGCAATGATTTTTTGTTTGTTTGAATTGGGTGTGCTGGCTGATGGTAGTCCCATGAACATCTGGAAGGCCACGGGCTCCCCATCCCTGATTTACACCCCTCCAAGTGCATTTCATTTTTGAATTCTGGTGCTGGAGGAGACTCTTGAGAGTCCCATGGACTGCAAGAAGATCAAACGTGTCAATTCTTAAGAAAATCAGCCCTGAGTGCTCACTGGAAGGAC